CATCAACGACGATATAAACAGAGAGACGATACGAGGGAGGGAAGCTGCAACGCCCAAATGCAAGCGAAATATCGGCTCGATGAATTAATATAATCGTGCCTTTCTTTGGGTTATTAGTCTGTCACTTAACCATATATGTACCGATCAACAAAAATGCAAACTTGGAGGGTCGATTGGATAAAACTAATTCATCAACAAATGAATTTTACTTTGCTCAAGATCAATAGGAAAATATCTGAAGGACCGAACTGAAACAAGCTATTAATTACATATACAACATCAGCATAGCTGTGTGCATCTGTTCTTCGTGTTAAATGTATGAGTATGATCTGACCCCAAAATTGCAATCCTAGATCGAGCTAATTAATTAGAACAAATTAGAAGCCAGCTCTTGTAAGGCCTGCATCGTGGTCGGTGACAAGAAGAAGCTACCCGGCGACGGAAGATTCGCCGAATTGTCATCATCAATCTCCGGTGGTGGTGCAGGCCAATGCTGCTGCTGCCCAAACGCGAGCGCCAGTTGGTCGTCGGCGACCGTCGCCGCGGCGGTGTCAGTGATCTCAGCTCCGCCTCCGGCGGTCATCTGATCATCTGCAGATCTCACGGTTGAATCCACCGGCGCCGCCGCCGCCGCCGTCGCCGTCGACAGCTTGCGATTGCCGGTGAGCTTCTGCACGACGGCCATGAACTCCTCCGGCTCGACGTGGACGACCCTGGGCGTGAGCTCGTACACGATCACCGGTCCGGCGTCGCCGCCGCCGCCGCCGCCGCTGGCGACTACACGGGGTTTCTTGGGCGGCCGGCTCGCCGGCGGCGGCGGCGGCGGCGGCGACACGATCAGCGGCTGCGGCCTCGGGCCCCGGATGATGCCGCCTGGCCTCCTCTTCCCCTTCGACGACGGCGGCGGCGACGACGATGACGTGGACGACATGGTTCGCTCGCTGCGTGTGGCAGAAGCCAGCAGGAAGGCAGATGCTTATATAATGGCGCCAAGCAAAAGGATGATGTCAAAAGCGCGCGAAAAGGTTTGAATATATTGCTCCAATTAATCTGCCTGCTGCGCATTTGACTATACGCAGACCAAATTAATTATCAAACTTGTGCAATATAATAATGCACCAACTACGTATACTAACCTTAACATTAACAAAGATCCGTCACTTAGATGTGGTTGGTGTTAGTTTAGTGATTTAATTACTTAGGAGTACTACTCCGTCATAAAAAAAGATAAATCTTAGTTATGAATCTAGATAAATATATGTCAATGTTTGTAGCTATGATTGAATTTATTTGGAATGAAGGGGGCATTTGTATAGACTAGCTATCCGCCTATCCGTATTACTTTTCTGGATGGTTGCTTCCTTCCAGGATAAACGCTACCACGTCTACGCTAGCTGCTGCCTGCTGCCTGCTGCCTGCATTGCTGCTTCGTTTCAGGTGATCAGAAAGTCAGTTTAATTTGATCGTCAACAGCTGCATCTAGGAGTACTACTAGTAACTGAGTTTGCTTGTTTAAAATGAGTTTCAAAATGAGACGCTTGATTAAAATTAACCAGCGATTAATCAACGAGAGAGAGAGAGAGACTGAGCGGGCTATGCGTATTGGATGATGCACGCACGGACGTACATAGACGGGCCGGAGGCCGGAGGAAGGAGGCAGATAATATCTGCAAGGTGTTACTCCTATTTGACTATGCTAATACGCTGGTAAATATATGTAGGCAGGTCAAACAACGCATGCAGATATGTGTTTATACGCTGCAAAAGAGAGAAACAAAGGCAATAAACATATGTACTTGTCGTATGGTAAATTTGTGTTTACACTTTATATGTATACGAATGCTAAGGCATTGTAGCCAAAATAAATTTTATTAAATTTTAGCAATGCTAAAATTTTGACAATTTGATAATATTATCAAGTTTTAGCAAAATTTCTTATGTATTTACCAGAGTTTGGTAAAAAAAACTAAATTGATATGTATATTTAATAGCTTTAAAAAATGGTATATATGATTTGAAATGACATTAACCTAAACAATCCCTAAATATATAATGTAAGGCATGCATGCAGGATTGCAGGAGGCACATTTGTTTTTACTGATACTAATAAAATTGGATATAATTTGGAAAATCTGGATGCAATTAGTGGATAATAAGGAGCAAGAAGAAAATCAGGATCCTTGGCGGCTTTGCCTCTCATCCCGTTGCTCCATCTCTCTGTCGTTGCCAAGTGGGCACTGCTCCTTGATCGTGCATTTCCCTTTCCCTTAAAAACCACGAATTACGGTTTTTTCACTCATGATATTTTTCAAAAAAACAATTCGCACAAACAGCACAAAGTTTCATATTGATGTAGTAGGGAAAAAAGATTATAGCATCAGAGGTTGTACAGCCGTACATGAAAAAAAAAACAAGCCACCATACATCAACAAAATGCCAAACTGTACACATCGTCGAAGGAACTAGCACCCGGCTGACGGCCATGAGGCAAAACTGGACGACGCAAGACCTACAAAGGAGCCACAACCGAACTGCCTTACGCTAACTCCAAACAACTACATACCCGCCACTCCTAGTAATATAAAGGGAAAAGTCCATTTTACACCCTCAAACTCTTATGCTTGTCTAAAATACACCCCCGAACTACAAAACCGGATATAATACACCCTCGAACTGTCAATACCGGACACTTAACCCCCCGGGCTGTTTTCACCGTGGTTTTTGCCACATCGGCTGCCACGTCGGATGCCACGTCAGCCCTCGCCACGTCAGCGCACAACATAACATGGGCCAAGCCCATATTCTCTCCCCCCTCTCTCTCCCTCTCTCTCCTTGCCGTGTTTGTTCTCCTCTCTCCCACGACTGGTGGCGGTGGCTGCATCGGCGGCGTCGGCGCGGAGTTGCGAGGGCAACGGCTACGGTGGCTGCGTCGAGCTGCGAGGGCCACGGCTGCTGTGTCGAGCTGCCAGGGCCGCGGCGGCTGCGGCGTTGGCATCGGCGTGGAGCTGCGAGGCGGCGGTGGTGGCGGGGAGAAGTCCTTATCACTCTCCTCTTATCGATGTCAAGCAAAAAGAGAAGAGCAAAATGTTAGTATGCACAAATTCAGGTATCAGATTCAGATGATGTAATTAACCTACATTGACTGTATCTTGTGAAGACTTCCCAGATTGTACACCAAGACCAGTGCTCGTCGTTGCTTCCACCACGCGTCGAGCTGCTTCTTCCCTGCTAAGCCAAATCCAAAGGCGCATGCGGCGACGACGACGCCCGAACCTTCCGCTGACGACTACGCGCAGAGGCTTCAACCGGCGACCGTCCGCGCAATCGGGACAGCGCCGCCGCCCTCGCAGTAGCTCCCCGCCGCCGCCGCCTCGCAGCTCCACACCGACGCGGCAGCCGCAGCCCTCGCAGCTCCACGCCGTCGTCGACGCCGCCGCCGCCGCGGCCCTCGCAGTTTGACGCCGCCGCCGTAGCCGTCACCCTTGCAGCTCCGTGCCGCCGCCGCCGCCAACGGTCGTGAGAGACAGGAGAGCGAACAGGGCAGGGAGAGAAAGAGAGAGGGGGAGAGAATATGGGCTTGGCCCATATTATGTTGTGCGCTGTCGTGGCGAGGGTTGACGTGGCATCCGACGTGGCAGCCGACGTGTCAAAAACCACGGTAAAAACAGCCCGGGGGCGTTAAGTGTCCGGTATTGCCAGTTTGAGAGTGTATTATATCCGGTTTTGTAGTTCGGGGGTGTACTTTAGACAAGCATAAGAGTTCAAGGGTGTAAAATGGACTTTTCCCTAATATAAATAGCAACAATGTTGGCTCGGTTCCGAAGAAGAAGAAGAAGAAGAAGAAGAACAAAAACAACAAAAAGAAGCGTTGGCGCTAGCGGCGTGGGCGCCACGATGGTGTGTGACAATAAGCTATGGAGCCTTCGCGCATGGCTGCAGGCGTCAACATGTCATGAGGCACACCTAGTGTGCAACATGCTCCAACTGTTCATCGCTGGGTTGCTTTCGCCGCCAGTCACATTCCTTGTCGTTGTCCGCGACGAAGTGATTATGGCTATGTCGATTACATAACATGTCCAACACAACTACTTGGTCAGTGTCTATTTCAGTTGGACCAGTATGACAATGTGGTCAATATAGCCCATACACTATTTGATCGGAACCATATATAGCGTAGAGTACGTACGACCTACATAGCAGTGGGCCGGGATAGTACTGTAGAACACATGTCGCTAGCTAGGGTGGTAATGAACCATAGTCCACATGCCCTTTCACAGCCTAATTAAGTCATTTTTTGTTTTATCCTAAAGTACATTTACAAGATTTAGGTCAACCTTTTAGCTCTAACTCTCAGAATTTCCAGGCTAAAGTTTGGGCCCATATATTTGCTCGATGAAAGCTAACAGTGAAAACTTCTCCATTGTATATCACCGTCCGCTGTTGTTGACAGTAATATATAGTACGAAATGATATAATTTAGGAGGCGATTTGGAATGCTTTGATAAGGAAAAAACATGAATAGTTTTCAGAGGCAGTTTGAGAAACACTATATTTACTTGCGTCAGGAAAAAGTGATGCACGACTCTTTTTAAAAACGCCTAAAAAGATGTTTATCAAAATCGCCTTAGGGAGGAATATTTTGAGGTTGTTTTGGAAAAGATGCCTTCAACAAAAACCCCTTCAAATGCCGTCCATCCTGTATTGACAAACATGGAGCAGCAATAGGGAGACGATCTAGAGTGAAGGATCGTGCCTCTCTTTGCGCATGAGGTTGTGTGCTTGGGTTAATTATTTGATTGCACTACTTAGCAATACAGTAGTAACGACTAATTAACGAGCAAAGCTGATTGGTTAATCAAACAAAATCAACAAATAAATTGTATTGGTTTTGTTAATTATCAGAATGAGATCAAGAAATGTACAGATGCTGAAGAACGGAAGGAATGCATACAGTCGGCGAGCTGAGCGCAGAGCACCTGTTCGTGCTAATTTTTCCCTAATTACAGGAAAATTTTTTGCACAAACTGTTGTGATTCTGATCCAAAAATTAGAAGTTCAGAGCTAATTAGAACAAAGCAGCCAACTCTTGTAACGCATGCATCGTGGTTGGCGACAAGAAGAAACTACTGGGCGACAGAAGAAAAGCATCCGCCGGTGGAGAATGAGGCGGCGCCGCCGGATGGTCGCCGTCGATCGCCGGCGCCGGAGCAGGCTGACGCTGCTGCCCAAGCGTGAGCACCAGTGGGTCGGCGGCGGCCGCCGCTGCAGCGGCGTGATCACCTCCGGCCACCTGATCAGCCGCCGGCAATGTCGTCAAGGTTGAAGCCGCCGCCGGCTGCTGCTTGCCGCCGGTGAGCTTCTGCACGACGGCCATGAACTCCTCCTGCTCGACGTGGACGACCCTGGGCGTGAGCTCGTACACGATCACCGGCCCCGTGTCGCCGCCGCCGCCGCTGACACGGGGTTTCTTGGACGGCCGGCTCGCCTCCGCCGGCGCCGACGACACGATCAGCGGCTGCGGCCTTGCGCCATGGATGCAGCCTCGCCTCTTTGCCTTCGACGGCGGCGGCGGCGACGATGACGTGGACGACATGGTTCGATCGATCGCTGCGTGCCCGAGACGTTGTTCTTGTCAGATGTTTTTGCTGCGTGGAGTAGTAGAAACCAACACACGAAGATACGCTTATATAATGTCAAAAGGCGCGCGAAAAGGTCAGACATGGAGTTTTCTTTTCTGACTAAATTTAAATATTGTTCCAAGCAGCCTTCTCCTAATTAATCTGCTGCGTATTTATTATGCAGATCAAATCATCATACATATCACATGTATTCCTGCACAACTAATTATTACCTCCATTCCAAATTAGATATCGTTTTGATTTTTTCTTATAACGTTTGATCATTTGTCTTATTAAAAAAATTAGTATAAATATATAAAAAAGATAAGTCACACTTGAAGTACTTTTTATAATAGAGCAAGTCACAAACAAAATAAATAATAATTCTATAATTTTTTAAATAAGACAAATAATCAAACGTTAAAAAAAACTGACAAGTATTTTGGGACGGAGGGAGTAAGCACTACTGCTAACCTTAACAAGATCTATCGTTAGATATAGTTAGTATTAGTTTAATGATCTAAATACTTGTTAATTACAGTGCATACATGCATGCTTCCCGGACACACGCAGCTGCATGGGTGCTTCGTTTCAGGTGGTCACAAATCTCAAATTGATCAGTTGCAGCCGCAATTCTCTGCTTCGGTATGCATGCGTGTTTAAACACACGAATTCACAACGACAAACTTTGAATTAATTTGCGATAGATGCTAATAAAAATAGGAAGTCGTCAAGCCACGTGAGCTTTTGCGTCGCAGATGATGCATATACGTCCATGCATCGGCCGGCCGGAGGAAGGAGATAGCCAGGTAGCTCAAGATAGTTATATTTGACCATACTATTGTGGATTTGTGGTGAGAAAAATCTAATATATAGCAGCAGTTCATAAAAGATAATGCATACACGTGTGTATATATGTATATATGTTGTAAAAGGAGACAAAAGAAAAAGGCAAGAACATCGATCCTGATTGGATTATTCGCGTAGAATTTTCTTTTTACCAATTGAAGTATTATATATTGATATAGTAGAGAAAAAAACTGTAAGATTATAGTCCTACAAGGAGTATATGAAGTATGGCAGATATGCAAGTACCAGAAGACATTTTTTTTAAAACATATTTTGATAGAATTGGACATATAATATACTTTATCTATTTCACATTATAAGTCGTGTGATATTCTCTTCTAGTCAAACTTTTTTAAGTTTGATCAACTTCATATAAAAATTTAACACCATCTAAAATATGAAAATAGTTTTTATTAATCTAACATTGAATATAATTTGATAATATGTTTGTTTTGTGTTGCAAACACTACTTAAATATGAGATGGAGGGAGTAGAAAATTTGGACACAGTTTATAAATTAACGGCAGGAATCCTCGTTGGTTTGGTGCCTAGTGTAAAAAACCGGACCGGACCGGCTGTTCAACCGGAACTAGAGGTTGGCACGGTTCGGTCAAATAGAAAGACCGGACATGCAACTGTTCAACCTGAAGTCCGGCTGTTCAACCGGAACTAGAGGTTGGCACGGTTTGGTCAAATAGAAAGACCGGACATGCAACTGTTCAACCTGAACCGGCTGGTTTTGTGTTGAATCGGGCAATAAACTGCTTTCGGTCGGACCGGACTTGTGTTAGACTTGTCCGCGGGCTTGATATTTTTAGCACAAATTGAAGGAAATGCGCGCGCTTGTGGGGAGTCGACCCCTGGTCGATTGTTTGCAAGCCAATTCCCGTAGCCATCCTACCATACAGATCTTTGTGCTTGTATGCAAACACATATGCTACATGTAGTTAGTGAACCGTGGTTCGACCAGCCGGTTCACGGTTGGACCGTCAAACCGGTGAACCAGCAGGGTGACCGGGTCGTCTACCGGTCCGGTTTTGGTGTGCATGGCCTTTTCTTCGATTTCTCTATGACTGGCAAGTGGGCCCCGCTCCTTACTTGAAAGCCATTTCAGTTGGGCCGGACCAGTATCGCGGAGCACGTGCCAACATGGGCTGTAACGTCGCTGCGGAACACGCGCAGCCCATAAACTAGTTGGGCCATCAGCCCATAAGTGCGGAACGGTAACAATGGCGTGCGCGCGGCCCAGATTCAATTGCGTTTTAATGTGATTCTGTCAATTATTAGCAGTATAATTTTTTTCGCAAACACATAAAAGGATTAGCCGTAGAAATAATCCTTACCCCATTAGCATTGGCGTTCTGCGATACAATTCTCACCTCAACGAATGACGAGCGAGCTTTGCTTAACGTAGGAACTAGTTTACAAAATTAAGTTAATGCACGTAGTAAAATTGATACGACCACGTCCAAGATTTACACCCACAGACCCACTTGAATCATCACATTCACGATGATACGCAAAATACAAAAACCCAGTCAAAAATGTCAAATCATGAAGCAGATTGCATGTCAAGTGGCTTAAAAATTAAGAGAGATCGGACAAAGGATCGCCTCAGTAGAGAAGAAAATTCTGCACAAAATTATAGACTTGTTGTAGCCGTCAGTATCGTACATATCTTGGTAGTATGGCACCGATGTCAGCATGCTCATAATCTTTTCTTAAAAATTGTTTGTATGGATAACTCTTCCTCCTAATCTCATTTTTTCGTACGTACCATTTTTCTCAAACAAAAAAAATATTCACGAAACTCTTACTTACTAATAAAAATCTTAACTACTTTTTCCGTCCAAATTATAAGAAACCTTTGTTTTAAGGAAAAACTAGTAATTTTTTTTACTAATCATTATACTAACAATAACTATGCTAAGTATTATGAGTGTTATATCACTATTTTAGTACTTTAAAATACTTTCACTTATGTTAACTTTATAGTTATTGATAACACAATATAAAATAAATTAGTTATCAAAGTATATTATTGAAGACCGTGTAAAAAAAATTATAAACCTTATAATTTACGATAGAGTGAGTAATAGGTACTCTTGTTATGAAAAATCATATCAATTTCTAAAATATTTTAAATAATTCTGTTAGGTGTATTAGTATTTTTCAATAAGGAATTGTCCAATCACTTACGTTTCACGTAAGCGTCCGATCTGGCACGCATCGCATCGCCTGTCCCGCGGCCGCATCGCATCGCAAATTGCATGCCAAGTGGCTTAAAAATGAAGAGAGATCGGACAAGGGAGATCGCTTCGGTAGAGAAGAAAATTCTGCACAAAATTATAGACGAGATGACTTGTTGCGGACATCAGTATCGTACGTGTCATTTTTTTTTGCAAAAAAAAAATCTTCACTAAACTCTTACCAATAAAAATCTTAACCGTTGGATTTAATTACTAATAGGTACTGTTGTTATGAAAAATCATACTATCAGTTTCTAAAACTGTTTGTAAATATTTTTTTGTAGGTGTATTATTTTTCAAAAAGAAATTATCCAATCACTTACCGTTTCACGTAAGCGTCCGATCTGGCGCGCATCGCATCGCCTCTCCCGCGGGCGCCGCTGCTCCCACTGACAAGTGGGCCAGCAAGGCTGAGGTGGCCCACATGTCAGTGGGACGTGGCCCAGCTCACCTCGTCCCCCTCCGGCCATCTCCCCTCTCCTCCACCAAAATCCTCCTCCGATCCAAATCCACCAACCCTCGCCGCCGCCGCCACCGCCGCCTATGCCGCCGCCGCCGTCGCCGGCTGCCTAGGGTTACGGCGGCCGCAGCTCCCCCCCACTTCGCCGGCGCGATGGGGAACACCTGCGTCGGCCCCAGCTCCGCGGCGGACCGCCACGGCTTCTTCCACTCCGTCTCCCTCGCCGTGCTCTGGCGCCCCGGTGGCCGCGCCGAGCCGTCGCAGCCGCCGGGTTACCCGCCTCGGGAGTCGAGCCACTCCTCCGTCACCTCGTCCACGGCGCCCGAGCGCGTCACCATCGCCGACTCCGACCTCTCCTCCTCCACCCCCAACAAGGGCGGGAATAAGCCCAAGGTGAGGCGCGTCCAGAGCGCGGGGCTCCTCGCCGACTCCGTCCTCAAGCGCGACTCCGAGCGGCTCAAGGACCTCTACACCCTGGGGAAGAAGCTCGGGCAGGGGCAGTTCGGGACCACGTACCAGTGCGTGGAGAAGGCCACGGGGAAGGTGCTCGCCTGCAAGTCCATCGCCAAGCGGAAGCTGGTCAGCGAGGAGGACGTGGAGGACGTGCGCCGGGAGATCCAGATCATGCACCACCTCGCCGGCCACCCGAGCGTGGTCTCCATCGTCGGCGCGTACGAGGACGCCGTCGCCGTGCACCTCGTCATGGAGCTCTGCGCTGGCGGGGAGCTGTTTGATAGGATCGTGCAGCGCGGGCACTACTCCGAGAAGGCGGCCGCGCAGCTGGCGCGGGTGATCATCGGTGTCGTCGAGGCGTGCCATTCGCTCGGGGTGATGCACAGAGACCTCAAGCCGGAGAACTTCTTGTTTGTCAACCATAAGGAGGACTCGCCACTCAAGACGATCGATTTTGGGCTTTCCATTTTCTTCAAGCCAGGTCCGGTCTCGATCCTTGCTGCTGTGTTGTCTTGTAAGATGCAAGATTTTGTTGGCAATTGCGGATTTTACCCCCACCATAGGCAATGCTAGTTAAGTTGATTTTGCAAGCTTAGCGAGGTAATGGTGGTGCATTGCGACCCCCTATAGCTTTGATTTCTCGATTGAGTTCTAGTTACAACTAGATGGACTTCTTGCATAACTGCACATATGTTGCAATGGATACGTTTGTTTTTCAGATAGATGTGTATTTGACTATCTGTTAAACCCTTTTTTGGTCCCAGTAGTATTGTGAAACTGTTTTTTTTATTTCCTGGATTACAAAGAAAGAGACTGATTTTTTTTATCACAAATTGCCAAAATCTGCAATCAAACTCTTGTGCACATAACTTTCATATCCATTCACTATGATATATGCTTCTTAATTGAATGCATGCTGTACTTGCGGTGATCCTGAAATTCATGTTGCTTAAAATGCCAAGGGAATGGGATGTCATTCCATCTTTCCTTTTCATTTTGTTTGTCAATTAATGCATTGATGTGACAGAGCCTTAATGTACTTAACTAGTACTGTAATATGAACTCTAATACACTGCTGTCCCCTTCTTTTAGAACACTGAAATACTACTGATTGTGCATCTTTTCCAAACTCTAATGCATTAAGATTGACTTTACAGGCGAAAATTATTCGGATGTTGTTGGAAGTCCTTACTATGTTGCACCTGAGGTTCTGATGAAGCATTATGGCCGCGAGGTGGATGTATGGAGTGCTGGTGTAATCATTTATATCTTGCTTAGTGGAGTTCCTCCATTTTGGGATGGTGGGATATGTCTACCCTTTATGCTGCCTTTTCAAACCCATGCTTCTGCTTGATGCTGACAGTTTTCCTCTGTTTTTTGTTCTTTTGGATGCTGGCCTGCTTGCACAGAATCTGAACAAGGGATATTTGAAAAAGTTTTGAAAGGAGATCTTGATTTTTCATCTGATCCCTGGCCTGCTATCTCAGACAGTGCAAAGGATTTGGTGAGGAAAATGTTAAACCGTGATCCCAGAAAGAGATTGACTGCACATGAAGCTCTATGTAAGCATAAATATCACATTGCAGAGCATCATGTCAGAGCCTTCTCTAGTGACCCATCTTTATGTTGGCAGGTCATCCTTGGGTTTGTGTTGATGGAGTTGCTCCTGATAAACCTCTTGATTCTGCTGTCTTAACTAGATTGAAGCAATTTTCAGCAATGAACAAGCTAAAGAAGATGGCCCTTAGGGTGAATATTGAGTATATTTTTGCTTGATTTTCTACCAAAGTACAAGTTACGTTCCATACTGATGCACTTCTGTGTGGCATCTGTAGGTCATTGCTGAAAATTTATCGGAAGATGAAATTGCGGGATTGAGAGAAATGTTCAAAATGTTGGACACTGATAATAGTGGTCAGATCACATTGGAGGAACTAAAAACTGGCTTGCGGAGAGTTGGTGCTAATTTGAAGGATTCGGAAATTACAACCCTAATGGAAGCGGTGAATTTTCTAACATGACTATGCCCCTTCTATTTCCAGTTCAATATATGCTAAAACAAACCTTTGTTTTTTGTTTCTGAGTCCACTATCTTGAAACACTCTGTTAAGCTAGTGTATTCAAATACCAAACTTGACGATAGTTGTTAAAATATGTGTATTTGACATCCTTTTTTAGCAGCTTGCAAAGATTTTCTGACGTTGGTAGTGGTTATTTGTAAATCTATTGTATCTCATCCAAATTTTGTGGTTCTGATAAGTTTAACAGTACGTGAGAATGGACCTTTTATGTTCTAAGAAAGTATTGTTGTGAGGCACGTTAGCTGTAATATATGATATATTTTTGGGCCAAGATATAATAAATGCATATGTTCTTCGACTTGCAGGCTGATATTGATAATAGTGGTTCAATAGATTATGGGGAGTTCATTGCTGCAACTATGCATCTGAACAAAGTTGAGAGAGAAGATAATCTTTTTGCAGCGTTTTCATACTTTGATAAAGACAGCAGTGGTTACATTACTCAAGATGAGCTACAAAAAGCCTGTGAGGAATTTGGCATAGGAGATGCACATCTGGAGGATATCATCAAAGATATTGATCAGGACAATGTAAGTGGACATTTCATTCATTATGAGATCTGAAAGCCTAGAAGACTAAGAATCACATCAAATGTCTGCTTCTCTCTTGTTTCGTCTCTGCAGGATGGCCGGATCGACTACAATGAATTTGTAACAATGATGCAGAAAGGGAATAATCCACTAGGGAAAAAGGGGCAAGGCCAGCTAAGTTTTGGTCTAAGGGAAGCATTGAAGCTTGGTTAATGGTAACTGCTCAAATCTTGCATTTTCTTTTCAGTTGATAAAGTGAACAGCCGGAAGGCCCTAAACTTTGGGATCCACGTATTAGCATGAATTAGACTAATTAGAGGACCTATATTTTGAATTGCTGAAGCTCTTCATATGCTCATTGCTACTAGTGGTAGGATATACTCCCTCCGTTTCACAATGTAAGTCATTCTAGCATTTCCCACATTCATATTGATGTTAATGAATCTAGACATATATATATCTATCTAGATTCATTAACATCAATATGAATGTGGGAAATGCTAGAATGATTTACATTGTGAAACGGAGGTAGTAGGTTAGTGGCACCATACAGTAACAGATCAGTATAAAATCGTGGGCTGTCAGAGCATATTTCATTTGAAGTAGTCAGGAGAAATACTCAGGACTCAAGATCTTTGTCAAGTTCCCGATAATTATGATGCTATCTTGATTGTTTCTGCTACTTCCTTCCCAAATCCCAACTTAGCATTTCATTCTCTTGCGTTTTCGAGAAAAAAAAAACCTTAGCATTTCATTCACATTTTATTATTCCCTAAGATTTTGAGTTGCTTGTTTATGGGTTTATTTTCGATGAATAAGCTTACTGTGAGGTGGAAGAAGCAAACATTCTGTTATTGTTCATGTCCACTAACATTTTCTGCTATACCTTCACTACCTTGAAGTGAGAGCTTATGGTTCAAATATGAATCGAACTGAACATAGGAAAAAGGCTTTGATAGTTTGTTGTGTTAGCTTAATTATAACTCCTTTAGTTTACTAAATACTGATTGCCTTTTGATCTAGTGCATTGGTGGATATTACACTTTGATACATAATAATAATATGGTTATCCCTGCAAGAAAATTAATATGGTTATCATTTACTCTCTCTCTCTCTCTCTTTATTTTTGCAGGAATAACTACCCCTGAATGTAGAATGGAGTGCTATATTAATATGGTTATCATTTACTCTCTCTCTCTCTCTCTCTCTTTATTTTTGCAGGAATAACTACCCCTGAATGTAGAATGGAGTGCTATTTAGTAAAGGACGAAGACTGAATTCAAGAAAGCAGAAGATCAAAGACAAACGTTGGTGTTACTCCTTTATCAACACTCTGTGAAGATACAAACTAACTTTTTGGGTTCCATCAGCCGGACACACAAGAAAGCCACGTACTTGGGTTTCTTCAAAGAGTTCAACATCCGTGGACCCTCCAACCGTATAGGTGTTTTTTTTTCCTTTTTTAAATAGGCACAACTCACAAGAATAGCGTGTGTGTTGTTTCATACTTTCATGTCCTCCTTTTCCGTTCTGGAAACCCTTGTAGGATGCTCTGCTGAGACGGTGAAGCTTTGACACGCTTGGAACTTCGGATTGGAGAGTTGGACGAGATTCCTTTGCATTGGAGAGTTGTATAGTTGCTAGTATTGAAATGTTGTAAGAATTCGTAGGTTGTAACATAAACAGTAAAATGAATGAAATGGTTGTTTTAGTATATTTCTCAAGAGTGTAGCTGTTTTATTACTTAATTCTTATACTTGTCAAGTGTATCATCCTCGATGTACTATGGCCCAACCTCCAATTTTATGCTGCATAATTACATGAACAAGTGATGTCAACTGCAAAAAAAAAATTATATGTTCAGGCAATTGCCATATCAAATGCCTACTCATTAATGCCTGTATATGTTCACATCATTAGCATGAGCCATAGTCCTATGAGTTGGCTATGATTACCATCAAGGAGCTGAAGAAAATTAGTCCGTTCTAGAAAAATGGGTAAAGGGGGAAGAGCAAAAGTGCAAAACTCATTTAAAATAGAATGAGAGGTTTTTAAACATGTTGGAATGCATTAGAACTTATTAAGATACACATTAGAATTGATTAAAATATGAAAAAAAATTGAGGCCCTAATCCTCCATGTCTCTGGTCCAACTGATACACCCAAGGCGAACATGTGACATCACCTGTCAATCTCCAAGTATCTGTTTAGACAATGGCCATGTCCAATTCAAGAGAACACACATTTTTTCCCTATTTCATGCAGAATTAAACCTTTTTGTTTCAAAGAGAACAAACCTTTTCTTTTCACCAAAAATTTAAGAGTAAATTTCACAAAACTACACGTTTTGTAGTCCAAGTTGCAGAAAACCACACACACTTCGACACTTGGCACTTAAGTACATATATTTTGGTAGTGTAGTTTCACAAAACCACACTATCAATGAATAGATTCACCCACGAGATGACGTGACTGTTTCATCTAGGACAAGGACATGCCATCCTATTACCAGCCATCGCACGAAATTAATAGGATGCCACGTCCTCATCCTAGATGGAACGACCACGTCGTCTCATGGATGAATCCATTCATCGATAGTGTGGTTTTGTGAAACTAAACTACCAAAATATATATACTTAAGTGCCAAGTGTCAAAATGTTTGTGGTTTTCTGCAACTTGAACTATAAAACATGTAGTTCTGTGAAATTTACTCAAAATTTAAATACATATATATATTTTTTAATCGACTCCATCTTATATGATGCTCATACAACTTCGACGACGTTTCGATGGTCAGCTTTGCAAACAAACTCCATAGCGGCGTCACGACCATCCACAAAATTGTGTGCCCCTCTTTTTGGCGGTCGATAAGCATCGTGAGGCACTATTGCAATTTCTGGATTTATCACCATGTTCTTGAGCACGGTTGAGCTGCAAAGGATATGAAGTGCCAGCTCTACCTGATCTTTCTGACCGAAAATTCCAGTGATCTGAACCTGTTTGAGATTATTGTGATGGTGTAATGGAAGGCTTCTTAGATCACCATCCTCTTCACTGTATGGTTTGTGAGGAGCGTCTATCCACATCTATAAATATGAGAAAACCAGAATATTAGTGAGTGCCCCTGGAATGAAAAACAAAATACTCCATCTATTTTTCTAATAAATGATGTCGTTGACTGTAGGCATTACGTCTACCCATTTGCCTTATTAAAAAAATTAATACAAATATGCAAAAATTTAAATAAATTAACAAAACAAATGATATTTACATATTTTTTTAAATAAGGTGAACATTAGACATGAATAGCTTAAATGGAGGAAGTGATCAATGACGACATTTATTGAAAATGGAGGAAGTCTATAAGATGTGCACCCAATTGTTTTAATTAAGAATGAAAAATTCATTTCATTTTAGCTGTTATACTTCAATATAGCAAAGTATGACGTGCGTTCGGGCACAATGCAGGATCAGGTTTTGTGTTTTAATTAAGTTCAAAAACACAAATTACTACTACTGCACAATAGACATCACATCGCATTTAATCAATCGGCCAAGCAAACAGAACCAAAATTTGGCTAAAACTAATTCATGAGTATATACTTTTATTTGTCAGTTGGAAGTGAAAAACTTACATGTAGTTCCAGTTTTTCCATAAAAGGAGCAATTTCTAAAAGATATGCATAGTCAAGGATATCAGTCTTCCTGCCATATCCAAAAACAATCGTTTCCAACTTCAAATGTCGAAGATAAATTAATTTGGGAAGCCTCTGAGGAGAAATAGCTTTCTGGCGTGCATCAGAACAAAAAAAAAAAGCTAATGAGAAAGTTGACAATAATTTATATGCATGAAAAAAAAAATGAACTGCTACAGAAACAAACTAAGTGGTCATATCACAAACCTTATATTCAACAACATGAAATTCGAGCATTCGAACAACCGGCAAATTACTGATGAATCCTGTGACAATATAGTCAAGACCAGTACAAAAAGGCATCGTTTTTAAACGCACATTTGTCAGGCTGGAAGTTGTAGCAAAAATCAAAGGTGTCATTGATGAACCAGTGAAATCAAGTGTTGCCAGATCACAGTTCATCTCTATCTTCTCAAGTACAGGGCAACAATCCACTTGCAGATGCTTCAGCCGGTTCAGAAAATGAGGTGCATGAATCTTTGTGAGCATTCTGCAGAAGGAGATCTCAAGGAACTCCAGGACATTGGGATTGCACAGCAAATTCTGAACCCCTTCATCTGTGATATTTACACCTATCAGGTTAAGCCTTTTAAGGTTCAGAAATCCAGTGAAATCAGCAGCCGGTTTCAGATACATAGAGGTAAGCTGCAGACACTGCAAATGAGATCCACCATTGTTGGCATCAAGAAGCTGACAAGGAAACTCATAAAATCCTTCTCTGTCTAGATATGGGTGAAATACCATAACTGGCAACATGAAGAACCTAGTAAGATCTGATAGATCAAGAATGAGTTCTTTCGTCTTGGATGCGACGGCAAATTTCACCCATCTATCTATGTCCCGCCGCGCATTGCGCAATAAGAACTTGATCTCCATGCGCTCAACGCCTACACCACTATGTTGCTGCAGGATTGAATCAACTCTCCTTATGAAATTTTGCTGGTTAAGCATTCTGCAACTAGGAAATGTGGCGCGACTGAATGTTAGCATAGTATGATCACGCCAAAGATCCTTCCATTGCCTTGATATAAGTCCAGTCCTTATAGCATCTCCAATTGGCAGCCGCGATATGATCAAGCCCAAAACATCCTGCATCATAATTTGGAGTCAGAGAATGCAAAGCATCACACTAGCAAACTACACAATTATTCAGCATCATGCTGAAGCACAAGGAGTATATGTATATATATGTAACTTGATTTCAGTTTGACAGCACGATCACGTACTATGGGAAGATCGTTAAGTTGGAGGCCTGATCTTCTCCCTTGTCTGTTCTTAGCTGCGCAATCCAAGGATTCCTCTGGTTTTCTCGTCATGTTCAAATCAAATCTCAGGGTAGGCTGGATTTACTGAGGTTAAGGGCAAAGAAAAAAGATCCCAGATCAGGAAGAAACGCTAGGGTTTAACATAAATTCGACAAAAAAAGATTGTCGGTAATGGATGGATGCTCACCAGAAGAACGGCGGAAGCAGCAAGGGGACACCGGCGACGCTGCTCGCACGATGGAGATCGGCTCAGGCGGCGGGCGAGGAGACGGGAGTCGGCGGCCGAGAAGACGGGGAGATTGAATGAATTTAAGTAAATTGGGACTCTAGGTCCAGAAGATAAATTTTAGGAATCTAGTTTGAAAGCCTCATCTTTTGGCTTATACTTATGCTTATATAAGTCAAAATTTAAATTTTTAACCTTAAATTTAAAGTTGATTTTAGTGTTTTTCACCGTAGTTTATTTTTCAGCTTTTGCTTCGCTTCTAGATTGCTAAGAAAACGTATATAAAAGTTTTAAGTTGCAAATATATCGTTTTACTTATTATGCCAATAAGTGGAACGATAGAGTCCTAAAATCATGTCTCCAAGAGATGCCTAAAGCTGATCCCAATATTTACCCACACCCAGAACCATACTCTATTTGAACCAATTTTGGGCATCTCCACACACTCCCAATTGATGAAATCGCGGGAGGTTTTTGCCGCTCATGCCTTTTCTTCCCCCTGTCGTGCCCTGCCGTGAGATGGCCATGCCCTACCTGCCCCCTCGACGTGCCTTGCAAACTTGCCGACACCCTCGCCGTCCACTGCTGCAGCTGCCAAGAACTCGAAAGATCACCCTGCTGCACAACTTAGCTGGGCTGCTAGTGCGCCATTGGTTGGCAGCGCCCAGCGCCGATCTCTCTCTTATCGGAAAAATGGAAAGACATAAACAGTTGAAGCAAGATTTACTTGAGATGATGTGGCATAGTTTAAAGTTATTGGAAATCAAAATTAGGGGCACTCTTTAAGTATGAGGTGATTTTTGGGCCCAATTTCCTATGGGATGGTCCCAATCCAAGATTTTTAGGAGTTAAATTTTAGGATGCTCTAAGGGTGTGTCCTTTGGTGTGGAAACTATTAAATCTCATGCACGGAAAACGAAGCAATAGATTAGCATACAATTAATTAAGTACTTCTTCCGTTTCATTAACATCTATATGAATATGGACAATGCTAGAAAGTCTTACAATATGAAACGGAGGAACTATTAGGTTAAAAAACTTAAAAGATGAGTTAATATATTTTTTTTAAAGAAACTTTCATATATAAATTTTGTAAAAAAGTATACCTTTTAACAGTTTGGAAACACATGCACGAGAGAAAACGAGGGAGGGAAGGTTGAGAACCCCTGCAAACGAACTCAACCTAAGGGTGGAGTTTGAATCGCGTCACTCAATCGTAAAACCAGTGCAACATATTCCTCGTCTCAATGAAACCAATTTAAACGAGGTATGAAGACGGTTTGAACGGCGGTTTTAGATGATATGACTAGTTTAATTTGGTCCTTATTCCATGTGACGTTGAGGTCACAAAATAAAACTAAAACAAAACTAGTTGGGTGCCCGTGCGTTGCAACGGCAAAAAATGTATGCATTAAAGCATCTCGCCTGTTATTTATGACTGGCAAATGAAGAGGATAGAATGTGGCTAATGTTCCTCTCTAAACAAAGGAATATGGTTAATGTATCAGACTATCAGGTATACTTGAAAAGAATTTTCTCTAACCATTAGGCATTGGCATAGAAGAATATGGTTTCATTTTCTAAGATCACAAGTTCTGAATATTACCCTCTTAGGTGATACATAGTTAGTTGATGTTTTCCTCAAAACAAAATTGGTTGGTGCTTCGGGAAGCAGTCACGGACGTCACACACATGAGTAAATTTATCAAGGGTCATGCACTTGATAAATCAAAATTGGAGTGTGACCTTTTTGGGGTCTACTGATAATAATCTATCTTCTGGTACATGCTAAATTTCAAGTTATATACCTTGAACAGACTATATATATATATATATATATATATATATATATATATAAAGGATTACAACTGAATTTACATGGAATCCAATCCATTAAAGACATAAATGAATCTGAGTAATTCTCTGGACAGTACACTATGTGTTCACGGTAATCTTTAAAAGCTTATAGAATCCTCAGTACATCGAGTTGCAATTTTGCATAGATAAATACAATTCTCTAAGAAATAGGAATGAATAATAAGAAATGTTAGTGGTAGCATATGAGGCAGCTGTGGAGGCACAAATGGACGCGCCAAGAAAATGTAAAAATGTGCTATCAATTGCAACTTAGTGAACAAATCTTGGAGAAGAACAATAGTTTATTAGTTCAGACAAAAATGAGAGTTTTAACTTCTATACTGAGAAATGGAATTTTATACAAAAACCATATACCTTTGAAGCATGAAAAAAAGGGTCACTCCTATGATCACCAGGAAAAAGGCAACATCAAATGAGATTGTAATTTTATAGTGATCAATAGGATTTTAGTACTTACCTGATTATTTGACAGTCTCTGTTCACTTGGTAAAAGAGTTCACAATTCAAATTAATCTGCTTTAGTCACTACTCATATTGGAACACTATTCCATGTATATACCTTGAGACAAATTCCAGGCCTGATGATCGATTATGAATTGACCAGCACATTTGGACTGCAGTGAAAACAGAAGAAAAATGATATCTCAATCAATAAAAAAGCCAACGTGTGAGAATAGCCAGTAAATTAGAACTAAACTGCACATAGATATTATACTGCTCTTCCTTCCTAATATCTGACCATGTACTGATTTGGCTACTCCCAAGAATCAGATGGGAATGATTAGAACAAACCACTGTGTACAACTATGATATGAAGTATATGAACCGTTCATATCTAAAACTCTGCATTGCAACAAGACTACCTGACCAAACTGATCCGTGGAAGCAAATCTGAAAAATGCATCAAACTTAACCAATGTAAACAAAGAAAAAAAACCGAATGGGATGCTCATCAGCCGGGATAACACCAGATAAAATATGACATGCTCACAGCCATCAAGAAAGAATGTTGATGGCAGTGGCATGCATGCCAGGAGATACTTAACGATCTTCTCCACCAAGAAACAACACAACCCATGTCATAATTAACATGCAGCATGGATCTGGCTAGGCCATTGAATGAAGAGTACCCTGAGCTAAATCTTAGCAAGAGGGAAATATATTAGGTACGAATAAAGGTTTTATCCTAATGAAATTATGTTGCTAGGCTATCGAGAAAAATAAATTGTATTTACCATTAGCTTCCAGGTGTTGATAATCCATCAATATATGCATATTTCCATCCAAATAGTTCCTTTTTGAATATCTTCTGTTGTTTTTTGATATCTTCCACTAAATTGATGCAAAAGGAAATACTAATAGTGATTCTCATAGGTAAATTAAAAACATCTTATTACATTGCACTAACTTTACTTGACAACTCATGTTATAGTTTTAATATGCAGAGCTAGCTGACGATGATGCCGACGACACCGCCGGTGACTCGCAGCAGCGGGCGCGCGCCTCTCCACACTCCAGCGAGCGTGCTGGTGGGCGTGCCTGCAACCACCGCCATCATCTCGTCCTACCCCTCAACCATACTTAGGTCCGCATTCCTATCCACCATTCCGATGGGTCTGATGCAGCGGCGGCAACGGAGGGTGATGATCGAAGAGCTCGGTCCGACGATAACGACGGCTGCGCAGATGATCGGGATTTGAGGGAGGTTATGGTTTATGGAGGGGGCGGTGGCGTGATGGAGAGGGAGGGGGCGGAGCGAGGGACGGCACAATACAGAGGGAGGACAACCGGAGAAGAAGGCGCGGGTTGGGCGGGATGGGAAGGCGGCGCGTCGGTGGGGTGAGGAGGTGGCGCGCCGAGGAGGAAGGATGGGGGGCTGGGGAGTGCGATGCGAAATTACGGATCGGAGAGAGAGGGAGCGCAATGCGGATCAGGGAGATGAGAAGTGGTGCGACGGGTGGATCGTGGGAGAAAATCTCATCCGCTGATGCCTGTGAGAGGATCCTCTGATGAATGTTAACCATTCGATCGTTCAGGACTCACCACCACCCCTACGAATTTTTTAAGTAGTATATAAAGATATATAGAGCTACATGTCGGTGGGTCCAACCCTCTTGATCTCCTTCCCCTTTATCGGCAGCCCACGTGCGCGCGTGCCATCTCACCATGGTGGCCCATCAAAAGGCCCATCTCACATGCTGCGTTTTCACTTTTTCTCCGTAGTACTAAGTAGTCAGTTAATAAAACTTTAACTGTATTTTTTTTACTCAAACCAGAATAAAAATAATCTCTACTACTTAAAAAGTTCGTAGTGGTGGTCTTGATTCCTGACACAGCAGACGCATCTGACAGACACGCCTAATCTCAACCATCCGTTTGCCGTATCCAACGATCGATCTCCTCCCCACGCTCGCTCCTCTCTCGATCCAAGAGATCGCTCCCCACGCCCACTCCTTCTCCCACGCCGCCTTCTCGCCGCCTTCTTCGCCCTCCTCCCTGCATCGCGGCAGCGCCGCATCGCCTCCTCATCTCGCGGCTGCGTCGCCTCCTCACCTCGCCGGCGCCGCCGCCGTCGACTCCGCATCAAATCCCCGCGACCTCGCCCCATCCGCCCCAGCCGGCGGCGGCCGACTGCCAGATCCCCGCGTCGCCTCCTCACCTCGCCGCCAACGCCGCCGCCGTCGACGTTGCCGCTGCCCACCCGCCCCAGCCGGCGACGCTGCCGCTGCCCACCCACAACTCATCTCGCGGCTGCGTCGCCTCCTCACCTCGCCGCCAACGCCGCTGCCGTCGACTCCGCTCCAGATCCCCGCGTTGCCTCCTCACCTCGCCACCAACGCCGCCGCCGTCGACTCCGCATCAAATCCCCACGACCTCGCCCCATCCGCCCCAGCCGGCGGCGGCCGACTGCCAGATATTTTCTTGTCAATCAATATAGTTGATGTGTGTGAGTCTGACACACACAAGCACACCATCCAGATCGACCTGAAGGTAACCTCGGTTTCTTTTGCTCAATTTTTTCATCGAGGGGATTGTGCATTTCTGTTCATGAAGGAACAACGTTTCTAATTTTCTTTTCTCAGCAATACGTGGAGCGTGAAGTCGCTGTTATTCCATCCTTCAAATCGAAGTTATAGTATTATACATATTTTATCTATTCTTCATACATTGTTCCTGTAGAATTTGCAAGGAAATTATGTTCAAGACCTTGTTGCCTATGCTGTGCAGAGCTCATTGTTACTTGTTCGACTAATGGTTTTTTTCACTCTTTGGATCTAACAAGCGACCGAAAAACTCCAAATGATCACGGTGAATCTTCTTGTCATTTATGTTGCCTTGGGTGCTACAATCTAAATTTTCCATTTAAATGACAAAGAAATAGCAATTTAGTGGCATAATACCTATTCATTAGCAAGAACCAGCACTCTTCCCTTTAAGTTTTGTTTATCATGAATTAGGTTGCCTTGATGCATGGAGCAAATGAGCACTTTTGGTATAACACACACGACTGCTAAGCTCGTGAGCATTTTCTTGTTGGCACCTTGTCTCTGGCACCTTATCTCGAAGGATGATAAGATCCTAGAATTAGTGACCTGATATGATCTAGCTCTCTTGTAGCTATGCGGCTATGCATATCGCTGTAGAGGAAATAGGGCTCAATGTATGTGTCCGCTTGCCAATTCCACCATTTCCCCACTTTTGGTGTAGGTTCTATGTATGTAACACTACCGACAAATTTATGGGGATTTCCTTTCCTATTGCAGCTTATATGGGAATGTGGGATAAGTCCGGTGAGCCCGACACGGTGAGGGATAGGATACTGCTGGAGCTCGAGCATGAGTTCCTTGAGGTCTACACGACAAAAATTGACAAGGTGAACCAGAGCCGGGTGCAGCTGAGGCAGGCCATTGCCGAGGCCGAGCAGAGCTTGCTGACATCTGTTCGTCCATGGGTGAAACCGCCCATGCACGTTAGACTGGTTTGTTTCTACCTCCACCAGGTAAAGGAGGTACTGTACGATTAGATCAAACAATGTAAGTTGAGTTCTTGTGGAACAATGCTGATAGGCGAAGGAAGAAAAGGAGATTTAGTAGAGAACTAGAACCTACAATTTCTGTTGTAAGATGATAGTAATAATGCGTGCATAGTTGTTCTTATGGAGCCAAACCGTTTGGAACTCCATTAGCAGTTAATATTTTTACAAACTGTTTGTTTATTACCATTGTGTCAATATATTAAGGGAGAGTGTTGGTATACCAATATATTACCATTGTAAACTTACTGCAATTTTGAGTCGAGTGGCTGCAATGATGTCAAGTATAGTGTAGTCTCTTCTGTTAATGCATGCATATATGTTGTTGGAGTGTTGGTGTATGTGTTCAACGTGTTACCTGCAGTGATAATTGTAATATGTATGTATACTTAGGTTGTGGATGCTAATAAAAGCAATACATCGGCATGAGCTTATGGAATTACTTCTGGTCATCATGAATTAGAAGCAAATGAAGCTATTCACAAACTTCTCTGAAGATTTTCGTGTCCTGCAACATAACAATTTTCTCCAAGGATATTTTGTGTGCTGTAACATAACAATCTTTCCCCGTTGCAACGCACGGGCACCTAACTTTGCTAAATATTCTACTTATTTCAAATGAAGTCATTACAACCAGTTTATCATTGTTTATAATGGTCGAATTGCTCACATACATTATTTAATACCTCAGATTTTCAATTGCATAATCCTCATATTTGCTTCCAATTTCCAATTTAAGATTGTTTGTTCTGCAATGGATAACAATGGTGGGAGTTCTGTGCCAACATCGTCAACAAGATCAGGTGACATTTTCATCCATCTAGCTAATGTTATATTTATCGCTCAATTGATATATTATTGCTTGCTAATATGAGGATCACTCCTCCCTCAGGTCCTTTTGCAGATATAACTAATGTAATTGATGCCAATTTGACGAACAACCATCCCGCTGCTAATAAAAATGGAACTAATGTGCCAAAAGATCATGAGAATTGCCAGCACAACAACTTGGACTCTACAGGTTGGGCGTAGCACTATATTATATATTTTGTTTCTTTTTAAGGCTTTTGTATTAAGCACAGTTTTTGTGTGCATGCACTCTTCAAGATGTTACAAAACTAAGTGCGACTGAACTAAAAAGGAAGCGTGCTAGGGAGTGGTATGCATCATTGACCAAAGAGCAAAAGGAAGATAGAAACAAGAAGGCACGATATATCAGGAAGCGGAGGAACTTTGAATCACAAGGTTTAAATCTCTACTGCAGCATATCTAAACTCTCTGAACAGAAAACTTTATTATTAAATTAATTGAACTTTCAGATAATGGGTCTCAAGCTGCGACATCAAAAAAAATTACTACTACGGCCTCATCTGTTTCAGGTTGAGTTGTCATATGGTCACTGCTAAAAATATGTTTGTAAATTTGTGCCAAAAACATTTTTTAATATGTTTGCATTTCAATAGCAGCTCCGTTTGGTGATATTAAAATTGCAAGCACTGAAGATCAATCAGTAGGGGGCCGGTTGGATGTTAATGATGCAGGCACTGAAAATGTGGGTTCTATTGTAACGCCTGTGCGTCTACCATTTACTAACAGTTCTGATATGTCCTACAGCTTCAAACAATACTAAAGAAGGATGAGCCATGGAGTAAGCCACTGCAATGCATTGTATACACAATCGTAATTCATATATGCATTAACTTATTTTCTTTGATTGACAGGAAAATATGGGTACAAAGTTCAAGGCCGCACTATATTAGCTTGAGTCTCAAACAGCTTCAAACAATACTAAAGAAGGATGAGCCATTGGAAAGTGATTGCTTCAACATGGCTATTCGTAAGTTCATGTATGAAAAAATCGAGATGATTCATAAAACTAAAGAAGCAATATCGAATCATTGCTTGGACTTGCAATTTTGGGTAAGTTTTTAAATTCTAATGCTCATGTCATTCTCTATTGCTCATGTTATTACCTATAATCGCAATATCGAATATATTGATTTATCTATTGCTTATGTAATTGAACCATTTTTTAAATCATGTAGAGTGCTACTGGCTTTGGTAAAGACCCGGTCCACCATGACAACATAAATCTTGCAGAGACCGTCGGTAGTTGGTCGGAAATTCATTACAAACTTTCACAGTGCAAAGCGGTAAGATCGCTAAGATACCATCCTATATGGCCGTGTTTTATATATTATCTTGAAGGTTGATCTTTTGTAGATTCTTATACCAGTACGCCATGCTCGAAGTTTTATCGTGCTTGTAGTGGACCAAGAAAGTCAAACGCTCTATGTGTTAGACCCAAATCCACTTATGCCAGAATATAAAAATAACCCAAATATGAGATACACCAGAAAACTGATAACTATTTGTGATCACTTCAACAAAGCTATGAGAAAGGCATGCCCTGGCTCTAGGTGGAATGAAGACATCAACTTGTGGAGGCAAGTAATTGTCAATAATCCGGTTTACAGCAGGTAAGTTATCTTCTTAAAAACTCGTTCAAACCAACAAATTTAACTGTGTAGAGAAAGGGAAGCTAACTCTTCAATTTCCTTAGGAGTTTATCGGGTTTTCTTGTTCATCTCTTCATGTGTACATGGAATAATAAAGAACCACATTTGCCGGCAATTAATGTAAGTCTTGACAGGCATTAATTATTCATATATTACATTATTATATATTTACCAAAATTTAACTTATTAAATACATGTGCAGGATGGTGACGAGCTAAGGAAACTTTTTTTGCTAAATCTACTGATGTACCAACAAAATGAGTGTGAAAGCAACATCCCTAACGGCGTACAAGATTTTCTAAAGTGTATAAAGAATTCACAACATTAGGGTAGTTATTTAACTATATGGAACAACATTAGGGTTTAACTATAATATGGAGTGATTTAATTTGAGGTGATCATCCATTAGAAATGCCGTATCTACAAATGCTGGATGTTCTATATTTTTTGTTTGTGCTTTATTTGTATGATATCATCAAATTTTCATAGATGTCTTCTATCTATGTTACTTTTTATAATTTATGTAGTAAACGCCATGAGATTGTTTCATTACGATGCCATATTTGTCTTTTCAATGCCAGATCTTATCCCCGTGATCAACAAAATTCCCCGTAGCAACGCACGGGCACCCTACTAGTAAACAAAAAAAAATACCGAAAGGGAAGCTCGCAGAGGAAAAGAAGAGCACAAACCCCAATTCCCAACACCTCCGCGACGCGAGCGAGCGAAGCACGAGGAAAAAAAAAAATCCCCGAATCCGCGACGAGCGAGGCGGCGAGCTCGCTGCTTCGATCGATCCGGAGAGGGAGGTAGGGAGGAGTGAGCTTGCTCGCTGTTGCCGCGGAGGCGGAGGCGGAGGCGGATCGGGGCGCCGCGGCTGCTCGGCTCGGCGGCGGCATGATGGATCCGGAGATGATGCGGCTGGCGCAGGAGCAGATGAGCAAGATGTCCCCCGCTGACCTCGCCAGGATGCAGCAGCAGGTCAGATCCGCGCCCATCGAGATCGATCGTTTCGTTGGAGATGGCGATCTGGATTAGGTTTTGGTGTCGTTCGTTTAGATCGGGAGGTAATCGCGTTTAATTCGGTCCGGTTTCGCGTTTGCGTCGAATCAGGATCGTGTGCCAAGTTCAAGTTCGGCCGGGATCGCGTTTAGGGCCAAAGCAAAATCGTGTCACAAACGCACGTACAGATGTGGAGTTCAGTTTGGTTGAGTTTGCGTCGAGGCGAAATCAGGATCGTGCCATGATGAGATCACAGGGTTAAATTGTTCTTAGTAGTTGATAGTATTATTACTCCTTTTAAGTCAAAATAGTGATGCAATTATACATATAATAAAGAAAATGGTGTTTACTCTTCTAGTCTTCAAGTTTTCAAGTCAATTAGACAGTGAGTTGTGGGTTCCAGGTTGGGTTTGATTTGGTCAGTTAATTGATTGGTGATGACAATCTGCGAATGTTTTTCTTTCTGTTGCTATCAACAACTGCATGATTGTATAAACTATAAGCAATAGGAGCGTTGTTGCTGGGTCTTTTACACATTAGTTTATGACTTTTGCTTCAACTGCTGGTGTTTTCGCATGTCCTTACATCCGTTTAGACTTTGTCAGCGTTGTCCCATACAAGCACAACCATGCCAAATGGTGATCATGGCATATTTTGTACCACAAGCCTGCTTTTGGTGCTTGTATTGAACTAGAGGCCTTTCGTATTGATCTTGTTGTTGCTTGACATTGCTGGTTATTTTCTGAGGAGCCATGCATGACATGAGATTGACATTTTCCTTGTTATGATTCGTATTGTTTCAGCTTCTGTCAAATCCTAACCTAGTAAAGTTAGCATCTGAGAGCATGAAGAATATGAGAGCTGATGACTTCAGACGAGCTGCACAGCAGATGAATCAAACAAGACCAGATGAAATGCTTGATATGGCCGAAAAACTTGCCAATGCTAATCCCGAGGAGGTTGCTGCTATGAAGGTTCAAGCAGAGCAACAGATGTCATATGTGATATCTGGTGCCAAGATGTTGAAGCAGCAGGTATGTATAGCAGTCCAACTTCACTTTTTACTATCATATTCTGTTGGAATTCGGTTATAGTAAGGCTGAGTTCGGTACCCATGTTTCCCACCTCACTCCCCTCATTTTCCGCGCGCACGTTTTTCGAACTACTGAACGGTGCGTTTCTTGAACTTTTTTTTTTCATTTTTTCAATCTAGAACTAGAATAGAGCTTCATGTTACACTTTTTGGCAAGGACAAATGAGTAATAAAATTTAAATTCACAAAAAAATTGGCGAATGCTGTATGTGCTATGAGGTTCATACCATTACAGGTTTGGATCACCCTGAGTTAACTAGTGGAATGCTGGAAAATATACATATGAACTTCATGCTGACGTGAACACTAAAGAGCATTTGATGAGCCTCCTTTTTTCCTTTTACCAAAGAACTACATCTACTGATGCATTAGTCAGGCTGAGCCAGATACATGTACTGTTTTGTGACAAATGTTTACTGAACCTATGCACCTTTACCAATATTATCTTGTTTAAGAAAACTCTGCACCTCTTTAATTGTTTAACTATTTTGAACTTGCAAACTTCCAAGTTTTAAACTATTTTTGTAATATTGATATTTGTAATTCCCATAATATCACCCTTATTTGTTTCATTTTTTTTAAATTTCAGGGAAATGAACTTCATAGGTGTGAGCAGTATAGTGAAGCTGCTGCCAAGTACAAGCTTGTATGTTTTGAACGTCAAACCTTCATTTTGTAAGTAAATTTGAATGTGATGTATGTTAAATCAATGCATTCCTTTCCTGACCAGGCCAAGGATAACTTAAAGAGCATACCATCGCAATCAGCGCATTCTCTGCAGTTGGTGTGCACCCTTAATTTAATGGCTTGTTACCTGAAAACACGGAATTTTGAGGAATGCATAAATGAAGGCTCAGAGGTATGCCTGTTGTGAATGTATTGTTGTTTTATTACTAAAAGGCAACACAATCTTCCTGTTAGTTTTATTTGTTATTTGAGGTACTAAATCTAAATATGCCATATGTGTATACTGGTCTAGCAACCTTGAAATAAAAAATATTTTAGGTCAAGAAGACTAACTTTTCAACATGTAATTGCTGTAAATGAGTTATTATATCATTCAACCATAATCTTATAAACAAAAATATTTTGTTGTTTCTGACTGCCACCTTTGGCTATTTCTGAGCTGATGAAATGGAACTTTATACTCTCTTTGAGTTGGGCTTTTCTAGTTATGGTGTATTGTTGTTAGTTTGCTTTCGTTGAGTTCCACCAAGCACATTAGCTCTTCTTTCACATCAAGCTGATTCAGCTATCAAATGTACTTACAGGTTCTAACTTATGATTCAAGCAATGTCAAAGCATACTACCGGAGAGGCCAGGCATACAAAGAGCTAGGAAACCTGGAAGTAAGATTTGCTTGACCCTTTTCTTTTGACATGCCAATCCCTTTTGTTCTTTTTCCCGACTATGGTTGATTGTACAAATGCTTTCAGGCGGCGGTGGGTGACTTGAGTAAAGCACATGAACTTTCCCCAGATGATGAAACTATTGCTGCAGTTCTGAGGTACGGTTTTCAATTATAGGCTTCTTGAATTACAGTCATGTTAATGGGTCAAGGCCCATGGGTCCTTTCACAACCCTACAAGTTGGCAGTAGACCCACCGCATTTTAGGTAAAAAAGAATATAAGTTCGGCCCACCGCATTTTAGACCTAGCCCTCAAATTTATTGGCTAATAAATGGTTGGGCCCTTTACCACCCCTAATTACAGTTTAATATGCATTTTCCGAGATCCCCACATGAACAATTCTATGGCCCTTGTTAAACAATATATGCAATTTTTTTATTATCACTGCTGTACTGATGGATTGCAGTTTCATATGCATTTCACGACAGTCCCCCAGAATATATAATTTTGCTAACATTATTCAAATGTCATTAATATGTACTTGTCAATTTTCTGCTTCTGATTTCCTTTCATGAGATAGAGACGCGGAAGAAAAACTTGCAGTGGAAGGGAAAGGAGCGAAGCATCCAAAAGGTATTTTCCTGGATATTTCTTCTCATGAGAAACAAATTTTTACTGGAATTTCCATTGCCTGGTTTTTTAGAACATTAGTGTATGGAATCTCTGTGTTTAGATGATTCTTTTCATGATGATGTATGTTACTTTTTTCTTTTGTATAAATTGGTCTTAGTAGAGGAAAGTACTATTTTGCTCTCAGATGCTGAATTGAGGAAAGAAATTAAATCAAAGTCAGGCTTGATTGTGGCATACTATAGTAAGCATTTAGCGGGAAAGTACAACAGCATCCCTTTCTGCATTAGTTGTATCCTGACCTTATCACTGAAGTTTGGCTCATGCAACTCAATTTTTTAAAATTTTACTGCTTGGAAGGTGTTGTCATTGAAGAAGTTGTAGATGATGCTTCTGAGCCATCAAGCAGTCAAAGAAGTTCATCCCCTGGATACACTGTTTCACAACCTCCTGAAGAAGGGAACTCTAGACCTTCAGGGTCTTCAAGCATAGATGCTAATGGCTTATCGAAGCTGGGAATGCAGGGAATGTCACCTGAATTAGTAAAAACTGCCAGCGATATGATTGGCACAATGAAACCAGAAGAACTTCAGAAAATGTTTGAAGCTGCTTCTTCGTTGCACGGAACAAGCTCCAGTCCTCCAAATTTGGGACCTAATATGCCAGAAATGTCTCCTGAGATGTTTAAGATGGCATCTGACATGATTGGGAATATGTCTCCTGATGAATTACAAAATATGCTGAATTTTGCTTCTAATATGGGTGGACCTAGTGCTTCCCCCTTGAGACCAGAGAATAAGCTTCAATCTTCATCAAGAGCCACAACAAGTAGTACTTCCCAGAGATCAGTGGATAACAGCCAACCTTCATCTTCTCAAAATGTCATGGAAAATCCTCATGAAATATTAAGCAACCAAAGGATGGGTGAATCATCATCCCCTGGTGCACCTTCTACAGCTGATATGCAGGAAACCATGAGAAATGCTATGAAAGATCCTGCGATGCGGAAGGTATAGAATCTTCGAACAGAAGGAAATTTTGAATGAACTTGTTACCTAGCAAAAAATGGTAGGCTTTGGATTTTAACAGTCTTTTTCTAAATCAACAGATGTATGCATCCATGATGAAGAACATCAGTCCAGAGATGATGTCAAGCATGAGTGAGCAGTTTGGAATGAAAATGACGAAGGAGGATGCTGCCAAAGCTCAAGAAGCCTTGTCTTCATTATCTCCTGAGGCTTTGGATAGAATGGTGAGAAAACTAATCTAACACCCCACATCCATCAAATGTTTCTAGCTCTTCTTAGCTAGTATTCATCGCTCTCTCCTGGTGCACACGTGCAACTCATACAGCGGGCTACATGTGCTGTGCACCTCATACAGCGGGCTACATGTGCTGCGATGTTTTCCTTAGACCGCACATTAACCACAACTCTGCAATAGTTTTAAGGGATGAGCTGGTTCTACAGGGTAGATTTTATGTTTGTTCATCTTCGGCCTAAATCCAAGTCATGATTTTAGTTTACCTACCCAATGTCAAACTAGAATCCGATGAATCGTTAATGTTTGTTCTGCATCCAGATGAAATGGATGGACCGAGCACAGCAAGGAGTAGAAGCTGCGAAGAAAACCAAGAACTGGCTGTTAGGCAGGAAAGGATTGGTCCTTGCTATCGTCATGCTGATCCTGGCCTTCATCCTTCGCCAGCTTGGGTTCATCGGTGGGTGATGTCCTGAATGCAGAGATCGGCTGTAACTAGCTTGCAATTTGCAAATAATCGTCGGGTAGCGATATTGCGTGCTTCCACTTTCTAACACCTGCTGAAATTCTCCATGGGAAGGAAGGGGTATGAATTCGATGGATCTGCTGCTTTCTTGTAACACTGTTCGTTCTTATTCTTTTTGTCGTGTCGAGTCATAATTATTTGTAGCATCAATTCATCGGATTCTTGTATTTCGAGAGCGTGAAGGAATCGACTTCAAATTGAGGTAGCACTGTTATTCAGATTCAGATAACTTGCCGACATGTAATGACTAAATGAGATACCACTGTTGTTATTATGCACCTGAGATGGTTGAGAATTTTTTGCTGGAAGGTCCTGCACATGTGCATCTCATAGACTCATCGTACTAAACCTTTTATATTACTTCCTTCGTTTCATAATATAAGACTTTCTAGCATTACTCACATACATATAGATGTTAATGAATCTAAACACATACCTATGTTTAGATTCATCAACATCTAAATGAGTTTTACATTGTGAAACGGAGTAAGTAGTATTTGCAATGGCTACATGAGCGTGTACTTTAAATAAAACGATGCGATTAATTAGGGGGAAAAAGAACTTACATAAACCAGAAGTATCAAATGTACGGGAACATGTACGAGTATCGCATATGCCAAGCCCATGAAATCCGTTGATAGAACGAGAAAAAAAAATTCCGGAACGCAACGCAGTTTTAGATTTAAATTCTGCCCACTTCTCTAAAACAAGGAGAACTTAAATTCATTTAAATTCTGCCCACTTCTCTAAAACAAGAACTTAAATTCCGCAACGCAGTTTTAGATTTAATTCCGAACAGGCAAAGCAATTTTAAATTCTGCATGATGAATCCGTTGATAGATGGTATTAAAAATTCGGGTGATTTTTTAAAAAAATTAATTCCTAACCGACAAAGCAATGCAAATTTAAAAATTTAAACTGTGCGATGTAATTTAAAACAAAAAGAAAAAGGGCCCAACCGGGGACCTATTGATCTGCAGTCAATTGCTCTACCACTGAGCTATGGACCCTTCAACGAAATGATTTACTTATTTACGTTATAAATAAGGTAAACGCGGTACATTTAGCTAAATAAGCGTTAGTGAAATTAAATATGCTAGAGGGTCCATTGTAGTCCGTACCGATCAATATGTCCTAAAAAATTTGAAGGTTAAATATGCAAGTGTTTGATATAAAGCTTAAATGAAGTAATTTATTTGTAACTGAGAGATTAGCATGGCCATACGTTTGGATCTTGTAGGTGTGTCGAATAAATTAGAGATATAATCTCACGTAGCAGACACACACGCTTGACCACCAAACACATGCATATAGGCCGTGTTTAGTTTCAAATTTTTCTTCAAACTTACAACTTTTTCATCACATCGTTTCAATTTCAACTAAATTTTCAATTTTGGCGTAAACTAAACACAACCATGTGCTACTACGTGGTATTTCATCACATAGAAATTAAATGCAAGCGACTACTCCAACCGTATTTTTTTTTAAAAAAAGTCAACCTAGTAATCCTCCTCCTAGATTTTTTTTTCGACGGAGTGTACTAAGCTCAGTATAGTTCACCTTACCTACACTGATTGGGTGATTTGATGTCAAGCACCATAAAAATATAATATTACTTTAGTATAATAAAACATAAAATAATTTGATCAGATGAAATACATTCTAATACCACGAATCTAAATAACCACGTGTCCCATCCAACTCAACCAAAGTCTGGCGATCCTCTCAACAGGAAGGACAGTTCGTCCGTTTGGTCCGTACGGAATTAAGGTTTTGAGATTTAACAGAAGAGCTTTGCAATAGAGCATATTCTGATTTATTACACTAAAAAAATAGAGCATATTCTGATTATTGGAGTTCACATATCATGGGTAGATAAATGTAACATATATAGTAGTGTTGAGGTTTCATTGGAAGAGCTTTGCAATAGAGGATTTTGACTGCAGTTTATACGATGGATAGATAAGGGGGAAAAAGAAAGGCCAATACCTGATTGTAGTTAACATGAAAAGATAAAATTTAAAATAGAGGATTCTGATTGCAGTTTACATGATGGATAGGTTAAGGAAAAAAAATTGCCAATACCGTACCTGATTGTAGTTAACATGAACAGATAAAATCTGCAATAGAGGATTCTGATTGCAGTTTACATGAAATAGATAAAGAAAATAATTGCCAATGCCTAATTGCAGTTCGTACGTGAAAAGATAAAAAAAACTAAAATAAAAGAAATTGAAAACAATAAAAAAAAGAACAATAAAAAAACAAGAACTAAAAAAAGAACTTGAAAATAAAATAAAAATAAAAAACAAGAGCTTGAAAATAAAAAACAAGAACTTAAAAAAGAACTTGAAAATAAAATAATAAAATAAAAAAGAACTTGAAAATAAAATAAAAATAAAAAACAAGAGCTTGATAATAAAAAACAAGAACTTAAAAAAGAACTTGAAAATAAAATAATAAAATAAAAATAGCAAGGGCCCAACCGGGTTCGAACCGGTAACCTATTGATCTGCAGTCAATTGCTCTACCACTGAGCTATGGACCCTTTTGTGTTGAATATCCTTATCAAATTTGTTCCTCATTTCGATGCATGGAGCTATCTACGTTTTTTCTTGAGAATTTTCTGTGACAATTTACGTGACATACATATTTATTATAATGTATATATACATGGATCATTAACCACTCGGATGATAAGTTTAATCACGTAGTCCCTACGTTCAGAAGTACTATATATGAGTCATATTTTGACTATGTAATTTTAATTAAGCTTTCGCCAACTACTAACCCCCATCAACAATATTTAGTTTTTTGACCTTAAAAATGATATTGTTGGATTTTCATCCCACGAGGGGATTTCCTCTACAGATAAAATTTATTTTTTTAAAAAATAACAATATAAGTTAATACGGGACATATCACTCCACAAACATTTAAGTTTAAATTTGACTTATACGGATTACATATTATAACTTATGAAAAAATTAAACTAAAACTAGTATACATACATTCGCAGTTATATTTGTTGTAGTTTATAAAATTCGAATTTGAGCATGCATATCTGTCAAGTGATCGATATTTCTTATATTAATTATCTTGTTATTTTTTAAAAAATAACTATTTAGATGATTAAAAAAGAAATGAGTGGATATCAATTTTTTAACTTATATGTTGACTATTGGATATAAGTTTAATAAAAAACTATGTAATTATCATTTATTTATTGTGACATATAACTAATTTTTATATTTACATAAAATTTTTAAATAGGATGGATGGTAAAAATGGAGGGAGTATATGTATGCATAAATTATAATCATTGATTTACCATGTCCAAGCGTGTCAATGTTGGTCAGAATGTGTTGCAACTTAATTGGAAGCGACCAAAAAATTACCGACCGGGAAAATTCCCGTATATATATATAACACCAACGAGATGATGTTGGCATGTGCGGCCGGTGTGCCGTTTAGATAGGTTGAGAAAACGATGATGTGAGATGAAGTACTCAATCGCGAGCCACGCGCGTAATTTCCTTTTTAAAATATAGAACAAATACAAACATTCGTATACACAATAATTGTGACCGTAAATTCCCGATTCCTTTTATTGTGATATATATATATATATATATATATATATATATATATATATATATATATGTGTGTGTGTGTGTGTGTGTGTGTGTGTGTGTGTGTGTGTGTGTGTGTGTGTGTGTGTGTGTGTGAGTGAGAGTGAGAGAGAGAAAGCCTCTCGTGAGAGATGAAAAATCCATCTCCACAAGTCTATATTAGTGGAGGAGTTTTTTTAATAATAGAATACAATATTAACCTTTAATCAAGAAGCTACAGCCAATTATTACAACAGTGAAACACAATCTTAAAAAAAAAATGAGCGCACCAACTACTAAAGACGCACACAACATGAAAAGTTTCTAAAATTATTGAATTATATTTGTGAATCTGCATCCAAAGTTAACGAAAAACTGTATAACCGTTGACTTAAGATTGTGACATACAGCCTTCACTAACTTTATATATTCATCACACTTCAGTAGTTTGAGCCCAAGCTCAGAAGCCAGTATATTAGTGGAGTGAGGAGAGAGATAGGCGTCAACCAATTCAACCAGCTGATCAGTGGCCAAACCTAGCTATAATTAATTAGCGTAGCACGTAGGAGTACGCGTATATGGCCGGCGGCAGGTTATTGCCGTCGACTTCCGGCAGCAGGCAGCCATCCATGGCCGGCTTAGACGGCGGCGGCGCACCACCGGCGGCGTGTGACCCAAACAACTTGCCGGCGGCCATCGTTCTTGTGTTTCCGGTGATGGTGGTCGCGCTGCTGTGTTGGAGGGCGGCGAGGACCCGCCGGAACAAGGACGAGTGCCGGCGGCTGGCCCGGCGCCGGCGCTGGCGAAGGCGGCGGCGGTGTCGGCGGAGGTCAGGGCGGTGCTCGCCGGGCAGGTGGACGCGTGGGTCAAGGAGGCGGAGAGAGTCGTCCTCGGCTGCACGAGCAGCCGCTGGCCCTGCCGGTTCGTGAGGTGCGACCGCCACGGCGAGCAGCTGAGCGTGGTGAGGATGAACCTGGACGAGGCGTACGACCGCATCCTTCCCGTCGTCGCCCAGATCGACACCGCGCACCGCCTGCATCACTTGCTCCAGCTGCAGGTATATGTACTTCTTCATATATACTAGTATTTCACATTATTAGACGTTTGAGTTTTGAATAGATTCATATATATGGATTTATGTGTTACTTATATATATTCACATGTCAGTGAATCTAGACGAGTGATGGATATGCTAAAATGTTTGTAATTCGAAATGAGAAGGTACTTCAGTTTTGATTTATAGTATCATGGTATTCTCTCTGTCTCGAAATATACTATGATAGTACTATTTTTTATCTCTTATACTTTATGATAAAGATAACAGTACTCCTCAAAATAAATTCACTTTTTAAACCAAGTACCTTTAGCTTTTAATAGATAACGCCATTAACTTTGAGTACATTTAACCATTAATGTTATAAAAATATATAATTATTGTTTATTTGGTTGTGATTTATTTTATCTGAATATACTTTAAATGTGATTTACATTTTAGTATATTTAAATAAATAAATTGAATAAGAAGAATGATTAACTGATAGTAAAAGTGAATGATCATTTATTAAAAATTGGAGGGAGAATTAATTAATCAATACAAACTTTCTAGATATTCGACTAAAGCCAATATAATTCTAAACATAAAAAATCAAATAGGAGTATCTAATGAAGCATCTGTCCCTGGCATTTCAGGTTATTGTGCAGGATGGGCATAAGTCAGCAACTACAACCGCTAGTTGTCCTCCTCCGGCCTGACGGTCGTCAAACTCGGTAAATTAGCTGCGTGCCTATAAATACTGACTAAGCCCTCCGTCTAAAATATACACTAGTGCATATCTAGATTCGGAGCGCTTATATTTTAACAGATACAAATATTTTATCCCCATCTTTAAAAAAAATAATTTATATGAATGAATCTGGACATTATCCTAAAAAATATCTTTTATTTTGACAGAGGGTGTATAGTTTTTTCAGGTACAAACACACATACACCACGCTCACATACACCCCCATATATATATATAGCTAGCACGTATACTGATTATATATAATTTGATCACATATGATATTCATCCTTACGTACTACCTCCGTTTTTTAATAGATGACGCCGTTGACTTTTTCTCACATGTTTGACCATTCGTCTTATTCAAAAAATTTACGTAATTATAATTTATTTTGTTATAAGTTGTTTTATCACTCATAGTATTTTAAGTGTGATTTATATCTTATGCATTTGCATAAAATTTTTAAATAAGACGAATGGTCAAACATGTGAGAAAAAGTCAACGGCGTCATTTATTAAAAAACGGAGGGACTATATATAAGAACGTCAAAGCAAGCTCTCTACTACTCCGTCCCAAAATGTTACGGAGTACTACAGTACTAGCTAATTAATCAGAGGGATTGATCTTGTGAGCGGATGCGTAATTTGCAGGTATGAAGAAACCGACATGTCGAACGGCAGGCAGTACTGCCAGAGGCCACCACGTCCGAAAGTAATTGATTTGCAGTAGTTTCTATTGGATCAACACCGTTTTCAGTGTCTAAGATCACAGGGATATATATACTCATACATGCATTTCGAGTGCTTGTAGGAGTAGTATGTACAATGCCAGGACTGGACATTAAATTAATGTGAAGTTACCACATGGTATCACAACAATCAGTCTAGTGTATATTGTACACAGTTGTATTATAGGTCTGTTTGGCACAGCTCTAGCTCCAGCTCCAGCTCAGGTGGAGCTCAGCCAAACAGTTTTAACTCCACCAAAACTGGGAGTGGAGATAGGTGGAGCTCTCTCACAAAATGTACTAGAGTTGTGGAGCTGGGTTTAAGCAGCTCCACAACTCCACTCCAGACTTAACTACTGGAGTTATATTTAGAAGTTGAAGCTGGGTTTAAATAGGCCTTGTTGGCTCAAAACCAGGAGACGTTGGCTCAACCGGGAGAAAGCCTTACCACACCTCAAAAGCTTGCTCATGAAACACAAAATAGTAATAACGCACACACAGGCTTCGGCAACGAATGCCTTTATATTTTCTCTGTGACTCACACACAACTCAAACAAACGAGTACCTGGCTTATATAACCTGTTTACATGCTGTATATGGGAGCAACCACTACCCGGGTCTTCATGCGCACATACGCACGATCTACATCTACATGCGTGAGCCCCTAACTCTTGCATGGCTACTGACCACGAGTCACGCCGAACGTGCACAACTAACAAGCATGCATGCAGCTAACTAATTACTAACTTGCCGCGCTCACTAACCACACAAGCTAATTACTCAGTCAGCTAATTACTCAGTCAACTAATCTCCAACACATGGCTGTTAACTGAGCTAATCTCCTACACGCATGCAACATATATGCAGTACTTCACTACGCGCATGACACACATACACAACTAACTAATGCTGATAATTTAAAACATGCGCAAGTCATGATTAATGCTAACAGGCCCTATATTCCGAGTGATCTGGACTCTGGAGCAGTACATTTTATACTAATCCCACGGTCACACCATGCTCGATATTCTCTTATATTATGGCTAGTTCCTAAATTTTTTTTTTCCAAAAAACATCACATCAACAACAACAACGTACTCCTATAAAAAAAACTACTGGTGTCAGAGATTATAAAGCCAAAATTCTTTTTTTTCTCTCATGGACGGATGGCGTACGGAGAAAAACTGTGTTAGGGTTGCTTTATCTACAGCTCTATCTCTATTTTATCTTTTTTTTAAGGTTGGAGTCCAATAAAATAGTTTTGAAAAAGGAACGGAACCTTCAGAGTGATTTGAAAAAATAAATTAGAAGGGTAGAGTATGTTCAGGTCTCTACACTCAAAACCTATACTACTTCCTCCGTTGTAAAATAAATCAATTTAGGTTGGGATAAAATATAACTTAGTATAACAAATCTATATATATATATATATATATATATATATATATATATATATATATATTCAAATTCTTCGAATTAAATTGCGTAGGTTGTTCAAATTCTTCGACGGACAAAATATTTAGGAGTCGGAGTTAGATTATGTAGGTTGTTCAAATTCTTGTTCTAAAAGTCAAATATTTAGTACTCCCTCCGTTTCGAAATGTTTTACACCGTTGACTTTTTAGCACATGTTTGACCATTCATCTTATTCAAAAAATTTAAGTAATTATTAATTCTTTTCCTATCATTTAATTCATTGTTAAATATACTTTTATGTAGGCATATAATTTTACATATTTCACAAAAGTTTTTGAATAGGATGAACGGTCAAACATGTGCTAAAAAGTCAACGGTGTCAAACATTTCGAAACGGAGGGAGTATAAAAGAGAAAAAAAATATTATGTTACATACACCACTCCCATGGAGAGGACTCGGATTCGCTATGATACATATTCGCCAATTTGACAGATGTGGATGGAAATGTGGATGTCCTCCGACCGTCTTCCGTATCGTAAGCGCCATGGCGAACTTCGGAGCCTCCCTTCTCACCCTTACCCCCATCTCAAACGGGTGAATGCCACTGGTTTTTTTTGGTTTGAAGGATCAACTGGAGCTGCTGCTTCATATTCTCAGGAATTCAACCGTGCTCAAGACAATGAGGATAGAACCAAAGCAGACGGTAGTTGCTGGATTTTGTCCTCTGACCTCAGTAGATGCATTGGCTTCTGCAGATGGTTACAAAGTTGCTAAGAAATGTATCTTTGCAAGGAAGATCACCGTGGTGTTGTCCAGATTGCAGGAGTTCGGTTTGCGAATGCTCCATTGTACCATTGATCCACAACGGCTTCATGCAGGAATCATGCCTGGAAGCTAAATACATAGGGTTTGGTTATTTTGATGGAGCTGACAAGATCTATGCCTCGTTTCTGTGATTTGATTTATGCCATGAAGTATAGCAATTTTATCCCTTTGATGCATCATTTTTTTGTTTTTTTAGACAAAATCAGTGGTCAAACATGGAGAAAGGAGACGAAGATAAAGGTCCATGAACACTGCAATTTTTGTTTTTGGCATTCCTCATTATCAAAAAGCGCTGAACATCATCATCAACAAAATAAAATAAAACAAATAAAAAAATAGAAAAGTTTAATTGCTATACATCGGTGTTTGATCTTCACTGACCAGTATAAACAAATTTCCATCCTTTTTTTTTTCCACCTCCAACAACCAACCAGAATGTCTGCCATCCGTCTCTCTCAACTCGTTCTCATGACACCTTATTTCTTCCTCTTAATTAAGCTTATGTAAAACCATCATCAATTTGTTCGTCCATTCATCCATCCAACCAATCATCATCTGTAGCCTTCATTTCGGTTCATGTTTCAGCGTCATGAGTTGAGCAAAAAGCAGTGGCAGATATACATATTTGTCCATCAAGCCATTGTCGTAGTCTATTGGCAGCTCGCGAATCGCGATCTTCGGCCTAGGAAGCCCATCACTTGGCATGCCCCTTCCAACAACTTCCCTGCAACATGAAGCAAAATGATTTTTAGGAGATCTGAAAGGAATTTTAAAATAACAAACCGTAAAGCCATGGAGATAGATGACAGCAATTGTATATTAGTAAATACTAATTAGTTGCAGAATCAGTACTGTGTCTTTATATTGTTGTGTCGGTGTTAAATTGGTTCCATCAAATTATTGGTACTAAGTCACATCACCCCCTGATGACAATAATCTATATCTATCAACAGTGACCCTTGTAATCTTTGCTTGTAATCTTTGCTTGCAATGGACATCACATTTGGCTATTCCATAATACTTCTAGAATATTATGGCACAAGTAGCAAGCATCTCTACATTACATCAGTGTCAACTACTCCTGTTTTTCAGTTGTCTCCCATTTTCTTTACATCCCATAACACAATTCATAGCTATGTCAAAATTCAGGCCACGATCGCATAGTAGTAATTAATAATAGGCTAATCGCTATGTCAAAATTCAGATATTGCAAAGTAGTAAATCGGATAAAACAATGGTGTTTCAGCTGCATCCATTCCAGCGACTGTGCGAGAGAGAGACAGAGGAAGCGAGGCCCAGACAGGTGGAGTACAGCCCTCCCAGACACAGACGAGCGGGGCCCAGCAAGAACAACAAAGCGACACCAACCCGGGCCCACGAGTCAGCGGCGTAACTACCCCCTTCCCGAATCACGAGGGCACCATGAAGGCATGAATGATCGATCCACCAACGCACGGACCGTCACACTGACAGCTGGGCCCCATCTAAGGCAATCCAGCTCAGTTGGGTTGAGCCGTCGGTGTCAACCGACAGCTCAGCCCTCGCTGTCTCCCCCGCCGCGTACGGACTCACTCGGTTTCCTCCAACAAATCACGGGTTAATTAAATAGTACTCCCTCCCTCCATCTACTTTTATTACTTTTATTAGTCATATTTTTAAATCTAAAAATTTTACTTCCTCCATCTATTTATGATAGTTATATTTTATCTTGGCACACAGACCAAGGATAAGTGATTGTACTTATCATCTATTTAAACATGCTACTATTCCTCGTAAACAAGCGATTCATTAATATTTACATTTCTCGATGCCTATGTAGCCAATCTTGTGTGGAAAAATGAAGAGTCATGCATTAAATCCAATAAAGCCATTAAGATGATAAGTTGTTGGATTGAAATATGACTATTAAAAATAAAATTTTCAGATTTAAAAATATGACTATCATCTTAATGACTTTCTCGAAATTAATGCGTGACTCTCTATTTCTCTACTCAAGATTGGCTATATGGGTATCTAGAAATATAAATATTAATGAATCGCTTGTTTACGAGGAATGATTAGTAGCATGTTTAAATGGATGATAAGTACAATTAATTATGCATGTGCCAAGATGAAATATTACTATAAAGAATAGATGGGAGCAATAATTAACCACGGCACCTAGCTTGCATTTATTTACCTCGCTCCCCCACCCAACGGAATAACGTGCCGCCAATTTATGGTCGCTGTGCTGCGGGTCCCACACTAGCTGACTGTCCTAAAGACTTCAACGTGACACAGCTAAGCTGAGCTAAATGAATCGATTAAGATGGAGGCCGGGCCATGATTAAGTGGAGTAATATTTATCATTATTTAATAAGAGTACTTTGCTATACTAATTAACTCCAAAAAAAAATGTTGGTGAGATGCTTGGCTAGCTGGATGCGTCTTTTGCTTCGATTCCCGGCAAACTGCCCGCGACAGCGACCCACTACCTCCAACAGTAAAAACACCCCGCACCGACACTCACTTCCGTTTTTACCCTCTCAAGTGTACTAATCAGTAATCACAACAAATTAATTAACCAGCATTGCTAATTATATTTTTTTACTGACCTCGTCGGAGCTTGGACTTGGAGTGGGCGGTGACGGCGGGGGCCTTCCTGGCGGGAGCGGCGCCCGACGAGCCGGAGCCTGAGCCTTCGCCGCCGGTGGCGGTGTCCTTGGGAGGGAAGAGCACGGCGTCGATGCCCTGCACGGAGATCCTCCCGTCGGTGTAGATGTCCGGGTCGAACAGGTAGGCGGAGCCCTCGCCATGGCCGAACTTGACCGACCCGTCGGCCTCCCTCGCCGTCACCTTGTTGGGCAGCCGCAGCGTGTCGTACCTCACCTTCCCGAAGCGGCGCACCGCGTTGTACATGCTCTCCTCCGTCTGGTACTCCGGGATCATGTGGTAGTAGAGGATGTTCTCCGGCGACCCCGGCTCGCTGAGCTGGTCGGTGGTGAGCCGCGCCATGGCCTCGTCGTTGGGCGCCAGCACGGTGAGCACGTACCCCTCGGAGACGAGGCGGCCCATCTCGGTGGCGAGCGAGGTGAGGTTGACGAGGATGTCGGCGAGCTCGTTGTAGCCGCCGTAGAGGAGGAGCGTCTGGATGAAGTCCTTCACCTGGCTGTGCCCGTCGAAGTGGTGTTTCCCGGACCCGGGCCCCGGCGCGGGGGCCGGCGCGATGGATGGGCCCGGCGCCATCGCGTCCCAGATCGGCAGCACCGGCGGCGCGCCGGGGGGGACGGGCGGCGCGGGCTTCTTGAGGCGGTGCGTCCTCGGATCCACCTCGGGCGCCCCCGTCGGGAGCACCGCCGAGATCGCGGCGAGGCTGCGGCGGCGGTTGAAATCCTCCTGCACGGAGCGCGGGACCAGCAGCCGCTCGATCCCGTGGATGACGCCGTCGGGGCGCACCACCGCGTCGGGCCGCGTGACCGCCGCGGCGCCGACCCGCATCGGCGAGGCGGAGAGGTCGACGCGCTCGCCGGAGAGGGTGGGGTGGGAGGAGGGGAAGTCGGGGGAGGAGGAGTCGGAGGCGTGGAGGCGGGCGGGGAGGACGTGGAAGAGGAGGAGCCGCTGCAGCGAGCGGAGGTTGCGGGGCTCGAGGAGGAAGCGGCGAAACTCCGGGTCGAGGTCGCGCTCGAGCGCCTCGTTCCGCGGCGCGAAGATGGTGACGTTCCCCTTCCCGACGGCGTCCTCCAGCGTCTGCAGCAGCAGCGCCTTCTCCACCAGCTCGGCCAGCTCCGTGTAGTGCGAGTCCAGCAGCGCCACCAGCACCGAGTTCGAGTTCACCCCGTTGCTCGCCGCACCACCACCACCACCGCTGCTGTTGTTGGCGGCGGCGGCGGAGGAGGGAGTAGCGGACAATGCGGGCTGCTCCGGCGGCGCGGCGGTGGCGGCCGCGGCGAGGAGGAGGAGCAGCAGGGCGGAGACGCCCATGGCTGCGGCGGCGGCGACGGCGGCGAGGTGGTTGGTGGATGGGATTGGGTTTGTGCTGTCTCGTGGGAGGAGTAAAAATGGAGGTGGGGTGGTGGGGGTTTATTCGAGGAGAGAGAGATGGAGACTTGGGAGAGGGGGAGAGAGGTGAGGCGATTGTGTATAACAGTAGGGAGGGGTGGGTACAGGCTGGCAGGTGGGGCCGGGGGGAGGGTGTGTCGGTGTGCGGCGCTCTGCACCAACCTGTGCAGGTTCGCGACACGTTTTTTGTACGACTTTTTAGGCTTTTTTTTCTTTAAAATATAGTTCACGAAAATAAAAATTTTAGATGTCACATCGGTTGATTGATTGGATATCAAAAGAGCTTTTCAGATACAGATGAAAAAAACTAATTTCATAACTCATTTAGAAATGCGAGACGAATTTTTTTTGAGTCTAATTAAACCGTCATTAGCATATGTGGGTTACTGTAACACTTACAGCTAATCATGGACTAGCTAGGTTAAAAGATTCATCTCGTGATTTTCATGCAAAATGTGCTATTTGTTTTTTTATATATATTTAATGCTCCATATATGTGTATAAAGATTCGATGTGATGTTTTGAAAAAAAAAATAAACCAAGTCTAATTACTCTAAAAAAATTGATTAGTTTGGTGTGTGTGTGTGTGTGATGCTTTGGGCCAAGTTTGCTTTGCGTGGTGGCGCGGGTTTGTGTTGTGTTGTGTTGTGCCGGCGCGCGAAAACCTTTTTTTGGGGGCGAATTTGCTGTCGTGTGCTTCTTTTTAAAACTTTTTAGCTGTGCTTTTGGGGGGCATTTGACCTTTGCTTTCATCCGTTGTGTTTGATGGCGTATGTGTTTGACCATGCTGCTTTGCACGCTGCGGTATACTAGTACTTAACTTTTGTACAATAATACGCCATGGTGGCACAAGATGTAGGATAGGATGTGTTTTGTTTGGACCACCGTTGATCATTGATACATTGACCATTCATTTTCCATCACACATTGGTAAACATAATTCTGCTTTTAACTGATTGTTTGCCATTCAACTGAGGGCATTGAGGTGTTCCTTCTATCTACGGGTGAAAAGTAGGCTAAGATTGTGTTCGTTTTTTTTTTCAATTAACACATTTCCCAAACTTATAAATGAAACTTTTGTAAAAGAAATTATATATAGAAGTTATTTTCAAATCAATAAATAAATTTATTTATCAAATTTATAATAATTAATACTTAATTAATCGTGGTTAATGATCTACTATCTTATTTTGCTTGAAATAGATTAGCCCAGGTGAACTTAATGTTCAAACGCACCGTAAGATAAGGGACAAATTACCTCGTCTACAACCAAGGGATGATAGGATGGAAATGTATCTAACAAGATGCCGAGTTAATTAGGTCATTGGGCTGATTGGTGGAGGGAATGGATATGGTGAAATTAGGAGTTCGTCCATGCTGATTTGGAAAACGTACGGATATGGTGTCAAGGAAATTTTTATCAAGTTATTTGCAACAAATGAAAACGTAGTTTTCATCGATACTAACAAGCGGCCGGTTACAGTTGTTAATACTTCGATGATTATTATCTAAAAAAAAAAGTGCAAGGCTAACTAGTACGAAGGAAACAACATAGCTACAGTAATAACAAACAAAAGGCTTTGGTGATTCCATAGGTGCGAGGTCAATGCCAAAATATCGTCATTTTCATATATACGGGGATGAATGGATGATATGATATATACGTCGGATGTGCATTTGTGAACTACAACCTTACCGAGCCAAGATGTTGATTGATGAACAGATCCTGCAGCAGTTCAGTTCCTTCCAGGTATATGCGTCTTAGTTTTGGACCATATCGATCGATTAGCCACAAGCTGACGCCATATAATTCAGCAACAACACTAATCTAACAGAAAAAAATATTATGTTGGTATTCACGCCATATTATATCCTGTCAAAAGAAAAAAAACTTCATTGGTTTTTGGTTGGTGTTCACGCGTTTCTGTCGGTGTTGGATGAGTGGCATGATTTTGGTCTGAACTAAAGAGGCGTATTCATATTCCCCATCGTTTAATCAATCGCCGGCCGGGCACTCATATGAATCATGATTCACGGCTAACACGCTGCACATTTTAAAATTTAAAACTGAATAAGATATCGCGCTATGCACATCTCATAGAAAAAGAGAGGAATAAAACTATATATATATCACTACGTTGGTATATATCTCATAGAAAAAGAGAGGAATAGAACTTATGTTGCTCAGTTGGTGAACTGTTGGTGATATTTTTTCAACTCGTTGATAACTTGACTATGTTTTTTTCCCTTAATTATTAACCTATAGAGATATTACTCCTATTTTGAGATACCCACTCGGCTGTCCTGCCCTTGAGGATATGTTCTTTTGCTAGCTTTTCCAACTTAACCCCTTCGTTTTCCGCGCGCATGCTTTCTAAAATGTTAAGCGGTACGGTTTTTTTAAAAAAAAATTATACGAAAGTTGCTTTAAAAATTATATTATATTTTCTTTTAAAAAATTATTAATACTTAATTAATCATACGCTAATAAGTCACTCTGTTTTGCGTGCTAGAGGGATTAATTCCCAACTCACTCCAAAGTCATGCATGCCATTCCTAATGGACGTGGGTCGTACGGGACAAAGTCCGGTATCGGGTTGGGTTGAGCCCATTATATATTGAGCCCAATAAAAGAATTCCAACCCAAGAAACAAGCCTAGGACCAACATGCACAACCACGTGTGAGCAAGTTTAAGTGGTAGAGCGTATGGTCAGTCAAGTAGTCAATCAGTAGCTACAAAAATAAAGCAAATTTTGCTTTGCACCATCTTTTTATTTTCGATATTTCACTTTGGATCATTCTTTAATCAAAGTTTTTAATTTGAGATGGACAACAAAAGCTAAACGCCCAAAATGAAATTCACTCATAAAAATATATATCCAGAAACGTTATTACAGTAGTTTAGCTATAAAGATATCTCCAATTTTACAACATCCTCTCACTTCTCCATTTAATTTGCATAATTGACAATATCAACTAGTTTCTCCCAAGCAAGCTTGACTGTGTTCTTGAAAAGGGTTGCAGATGATATGATCAGAAATAGCTTAGCATAGCTTTCGGCTCTTGAATCCAACGATCCTTCATAATCGCATAAATTTCACGCTTTTGAACATCCTCAAGCAGGATTTCATGAACATCAAGAACATTGCGGTGGTCTGCTTTGCTAAGATATTCCATGGCAACTCTATATCCATTCAAACAATTAAGCCCTTCAGTACATAACATCACCGTTCCATGGGGAACAGCGACAACCGGCCTTGGATCTATCTTCATTGCATTGAGCATGACAGAATTTATTAGGATATGGCGTAAAAGCTCCAACTGATCTTTCATGCCGTAAAATCCAGTAACATAGGCGAGCTTGAGATTGGAGTGAGCGTGATTGGGGAGACTTCGAAGAACACCATGATCTTCACAGTAATGTTGGTTATCATAGGGCATCCACATCTAGAAAAGAAAATGGCATATGGAATATTAAACAGATACTATATGGTACGTGAAATTAATTGTAAGTGAGTGATAAACTTACATGCAATTCCAGTATTTCAAGCAAAGGAGCAGCTTTCAGGATGCAGGCAAAATCAAACATATCAGCTTCCCTTGGCCGTACGCAAAACGTCAATTCCAATCTCAAATGCTTTAGATACATAAATTTTACGGTCTTCTCTGGCAAAGTAGCCCTCTGACAAACACAACATGAGAAAGAAACAATCAATGCCACAACTTACACAGGGATGGGTGCACATGCATTTTGAAAATGGAAAACTGAGTTTGTGTCACAAACCTTGAGTTCTGAACAGTTTACTTGGCAGTTTGGTGAAGATATATTCAAGAGCAGAATCTATATCTGATAACTTCATCATGACATTTGTCATCAACAAAGGTCCAGGAGGTGCTAAAGGTATCAGTGGGCCTTCATACTCAAGTTTTGTCAAACCAAAATTTAATTGTATATCTTGAAGCATTGTACAGTTCTCGACTTGCAAATGCTTAAGCTGGTTTAGAGGTTGGGATGTCTGCAATCTTGTAAGCATTCCACAATAAAGGATACCAAGAAAATTCAAGGCATTGCAGTTTGAGACCAAAGTCTGCATATCATCATCACTAATATCTGTGCAATCTAGCTTAAGCTTTTGAAGGTTCCGAAAACCCATGAAATTCGCTGGCAGCTTTAGAGAAACAGAGATAAGTTTCAATGCTTGCAACTGCAAGCTGTTAGTAGCATTGAAAAGCTTAAAAGGAAAGTTATATGGTGCCACTTTAGGATAGTAAGGATCCAAATCAAGAATAAGCTGTTTTGTCTTTGAAGCAATAACAAAGTTCAGCCACCTATCTATATGGTCTGCATCTTCGTTTTCTAATTCATAAAGAATTGCCACTGTTTGAACTCCTAGACCACTGCGTTGCTTTAACACTGAATCGACTCTCTCGATGAAAAGTTCTTTATTTAACCTCTGACCATCGGAAGTCCAACATCTTTTGATATGATGATGCATTGAAAGCACTGTATAAAATCTAAACACCAAGCTTTCTCGGGAACACCAAATATTTTTCCAGTGGTTTGATAATACACTTGTCCTTGCAGCCTCCTTTAATGGCAGAAGTGATATGATACGATTCAATATATCCTGTAATCACGAAGCAATAATATCAGAAACAAACATTAAAAATTATTCTACCAAGCAATATGCTAGTACACGCAGGAGAAGGTTGCAGCACTACAAATCGCATACTGTGTGCAAGTCGCCCAAGTGAATCCTTGGTCTCTTTCTTTCGACCATTACACCATTAAGTTGTTTGAATTTTTCACTCTTGCCCTCTGCCATTCGATTCGATGAAACTCTCTATCTGCATGAAGAATATTGAAAAGAACATCAATGCGCGCAGGTGAATATTTGGCCATACAACAACATCTATATTATTTGTTCACTCCAAAAGCCAAACCAGTTCAATATTCCATAAATGTAAGCATTATCATCCTCGTTGGCTTGATGCTTGATTTACTATTTTTATATACAAACAGGTCAAGGATTTATGTTTTTCTTCAAAAGACTTGAAGGCCACCCAAATAAAGTTACTTGTAGAAGATATTAAATCGCTAAGTGTTCTTTAACACTTAGTTGAAGCAACTAAAGATTGCAAAGTGTGCAGAGTTGTGAATGACATCCTCGCCAAAAGCCATTTACTGTAAATCTAGCATATGAGAGAAGCAGATCTAATCTAATTGGCCTGTTCCAAAGCAGTAGATTTGCAAGATGTTTATTTTTTCTAATTGGCCTGTTCCAAAGCAGTAGATTTGCAAGATGTTTATTTTTTTTTCTTTCTTTCCATATGCTTAGTCCCTGGGGTTAAAAATGTCGTTTTCTCTACTACTTCGAGTCGGCGGGATCTTGTATGGCTGGATGTTTGCTGGCAGATAATATAATTTCCAAGTCAAGAACTTAAGATAGTTGCAAGACACGGGTATTTTGCTAGCTTTATTTTGGGAACAAGGATGAGTACCTGAGACGCCGGACGACGAGATTGTCGGATGCAGGAATCTTGCAAGCAGCAGCAGGAGGTGCAGATGCAGCCGGCCCGTTCTGAGGAGGAAGAAGACGACCTAGGACCCTGTTTATTGGTGCGGAAATCCGATCCGAAACACTAACGGACAAGTATAGTAGTCGAAAACTGACACGAAAACGGACATGAAAACACTAACCAAGCAGCGGGCATCGGTGCGGTGGAGCGGTCTGGACGCAGAAAGGGTGGATCTGGGGCGCCATGGCGACCTCGAGAGGGAAGAGGCTCAGCGAGAAGAGGAGTTGGAGCTCGCCATCCTCCTGTGTCGCGTCCCGCTCACCGACGGCGGATGGGGAGCCATGCTTCGTCGACGGCGAGCAAGCAAATCCGGCCGTCAACAGTGACGTGGAGGGCGCATGGTCCCGCTGCCACATTGGTCAGGAGTGGGAGAGATAGAGTAAGGGGAAGGAGGAAGATGGATGAAGGTAGGAGAAGAGGGTATTTTGGTCAAGAAAATTTTAATGATATGCTTGGAAGATGTATGTAATGTAGTGGTACATTTGGAATTTCTACAAAATTATAAATGGCATAGTTTCAATTTATTGAATTGTAATAGTATATTTTCAAACGAACAAATTTATAATGGCATGAATCCAATTAACCCTTCAATTTTAAACTCATGTTTAGCATCTATTCTATACAGAGAATCACACATTCAATTCTAGTTATTATTTTTCTAAAACTTGGACAAAAAAGCATGGAAGACCCTGATCGTAGTGATGAGAGTTTGCGGCCTAGAGTAATCGAAATCAATAACTGAAATAACATGCATCAAGAGAAATACCCAAGGGACTTCCGGCTAGCTTCACAAGGTGGTGAGCTAGCTGGCCTGGGTTTGAAATTTTACCCCTTATATTTATTTGATATTAGGTCATTCCCTAATATTCGCGTTTGAAATAACCTGCATTAATAATTTTCTTCCTTCCATTGAACACACAAAAGAATTACAATATTATAATATTGATTTGATACAGGTTATTGCAGAATTAGCAATATCAACTAGTTTCTCTCTAGCAAGCTTGACTATGTTCCACCCCGCTCTTAAAAAGGGTTCCAGACTGGTCATCCGATCAGAAATAGCTTACCATAGCTTTCGGCTCTTGAACCCAATGATCCTCCATAATCTCATAAATTTCACGCTTTTTAACATCCTCAAGCAGGATTTCATGAACATCAACAACATTGCGGTGGTCTACTTTGCTGAGATATTCTATGGCAACTCTATACCCATTCAATCAGTAAACCCCTTTAGTGCGTACCATCAGCGCTATAGGAGGACGAGTGACTACTAGCCTTGCAAAATATGATGGCATATTGTATAACTTTACAAACTCAGTGGCATATTATAGAATAGGGACAAAGTCAACGGCACATAATGGATTCTCTCTAAAAAAATAATCTAGTCAAATTGTTTCTTTATCTCATTTAAAACAAAACATTTTTTCACCAAACACATTAGTAGAAATTCGAAAGAAGGTAAGAAAAAGAGGAGGTTAATCACTAGCTCAAACACACGTAGGGAAAAGTTACCCACATCCATGGTATGGTATATGATCATATTAATCGATAATATACTAATATTATTAAAATTGTTCTTCGTCATAATACGGAGTGAAACTAAAACTTTAACCTTATATTCTTCTGTTGTTCCATCTTCTTCTTCTTGTTGTTTTCTCATTCTTATTTATTTTTGATAATAAATATTGATACAACCAGCACTATTATTTGCACATGAATACTAGCAGCTAACTCATGTGTGTGTGCTTCGTAATATATATTATCTATGTTTTTGTATGAGTAAAAAATAATTATTATATTTATTAATATTATTGTACTTATATAAGGTACCTGACTAGTTTTTTAATAAGCGGAAAGATATTTTTGTTAAACACAATCTAAAATGCTATAAAGATTAATAATATTGAATAATATATAATCATATAACAAATTTTATGGATGAATTAGAGATCGACACTTGATATGAATCCAATGATTATAAAGCTATATATATTGTTCAAGTGAGTTACGGCATTCTATTTACTAGTTACATGTCAATGCATTACAATGGGATCTAGAGATAAAAATAAGATTTAGTTTATTTCTAGTCCAATTTTTATGATATATTCAGGTTTTTATATTTCTTTAGAGATAATATTGTATAAAAAATAGATAATTTATTGTTTTATAAGTAGATTAGTTTATCGTACCCCATTTGTAAAATTCTAAGTCCGCCACTGTCAGTTAGGCTGGACCTGAATTCTATGAAGGGAGAACTGAAAGCCAGAGTTAATAATCTGCTGGAAGAGGCTGTTTAGGGTTAGATATTGCTGATATCGCTGATTCTATTGTATTGCAGATTACTCTTTTGTGGGATACGAGAAGTAAAAGTCATGAGGTGCTACAAGTAGGAGGAGCGACAATAGCTGTTAGTTTACTCTGTATCGTTCTTGAACAGGAATAGTCATTGGTTCAATGAGTGGTATGCTTGGTAGTTTACTTTGGTTTGTGAGTGGGAATAGCTTAGGGTTGACTAATTTGTATGGCTCTTTTAGTTGCTTGCGTGCCACGAGGGCTAGGTATGAGGAGAATAGTATAACGGAGTTCTGAGTGAGTGCCTGCCATGAGTAGAGGAATAGGTATTAGTAGCGTTGCTAGGTTCTCAGAAGTTTGTATGATGTCATACATCAAAATAGTTCTTACCTACTATGGCTTCTAGCAACTTTAATTGCAATATGACATATCTGCAAGCTTGTTGTCAGAAGAGTTAACGAGCTGCGTATTATTCTTTTTTGTACTCAACTTATTTGTTCCTATTTTCCGAACCATTTTAGGCTCCCTTGTGTTACATTATTCATGTGGGTTTCACTGCTTTGGTTGTTGGTAGAAGCTCATCTTAAAGTTTTTGCTGTTCACTCAATTTCTACAGCCCTTGATATTTGACAACTGACTTTATTTCATCTGAATGTCATGTTTTCATGTTATGTTGCATCTGCATGTTAGTGTTGTCTTGTAATGATGTTCCTATCCCTAGATCGATTTAGTACAAATTGATATTACCCAGCTTTATACTGCAATTCCATTATTATTAGTTTTTGAAAGTTCAGGTTTCTACAGTTTATTGTCTTTTTTATTATCACAGGGGAAAATGGACAAAATCACAAAACCACATAGGAACATTGTCACCTTTCTTCCAAATGAACTATCTCCAATGAATCTGATAATATGAGAATGATATGACACAGAAATTGTAAATATAAAAACATACCTTTGAAAAGAACGATGAGCTGGATCACAGAGCCACTCTCAGACCATCAAGTTTGTTAAATTATCTCCAATGAATCTGATAATATGAGAATGATATGACACAAAAATTGTAAATATAAGAACATAACTTTGAAAAGAACGATGAGCTGGATCACAGAGCCACTCTCAGACCATCAAGTTTATTGAATTATGCCTTGGACAGTAGCTTTGTATAGATTAACAGCATTTGCACATATATAAGACTTTTGAACCATATGACCCTCGCAAATATTCTCTCTGTGTTTTTTTCAATGTTGAAAGTAATGCTATTGGCATACATGGTTCTCTTCATTTCTAGCATCAGGTTTCTAAAATACATTCAAACTTTTAACATCTAACTAAACATTGAATCCTTAAACTAGAACTTTTTCATCAAACATAAAAGAGTGAAATATATACCCGGTCCTTAAACTTGTGGGGTAGTGTCACTTAGGTCCGTGAACTTGAAAATTACACGTTTAGGTCCATTAACTTGGTTTAATGTGCCACCCCCGGTCTAATCGTCCTTTGACCACGTTTAACCGCCGGCAACACTTTCGTGCTTAGCCCCCTCCACATATATCTTCGCACATAACTTACCCTGACTAGTGCATTTCAACCAAATCCCCCAAAATATCCCTAAATCGGCTAGGGTTTCGACGGTAAGGTTAGCGGAAGGAGGCGAGAGGTAGCGGTTGTGGCGGCCTTGGCGGTGAGATTAGCGGCAGGAGGCAGTGCGGTGCAGCGGGGTTAGCGGTGACAGTGCGGCCGGATTAGCGGCGGGAGGCAGCACAATAGCAATTGCTAATCGAGACCACATTTTCTATACATGCAAGGAGAAGAATGAGAGGGAATAACGATTTGAGGATTTTTTTTGGGGGATTCTGGTGTCACTATATAGCTACAAGGAGATATATGTGACGTGTTGTGATGTGGAAGGGGCTGAGAGCAAAAGTGTTGCCTATGTGGTATGCCACGTTGGCGGTCAAACGCAGTCAAAGGACGTTTGAACTGGAGTGGTACATTAAACTAAGTTCACGGACCTAAACGTATAATTTTCAAGTTCACGGACCTAAGTGACATCACCACACAAGTTTAGGGACAAGTAATGTATTTCACTCAACATAAAATCTGCATAAAAGTTAGCTAAGCTGGTTATCTTAATTCATAACCAAACACATCCTTATTCTGCTGTGCTTATTTAGTCACATGTATTTTACATAGCAGTTCGCCGGGTCAGCCGAAGGAGGCCAACCAAATTTCATTAAGGGGAGTATATACACATTTACAGGTTTAGAAGAACTGATCGAAAGTGATCAATTCCAAGGGTTGCGACCAAGATCGCATCCTGGGGGGAACTACTTCTAACTGTCGAGGCAGCAAAGCACTGAAAAGATTATGCTATATCTCGCTTATCGCTAAACACTCCTGCTTCCCTCCAGATTGTGATCTCTTCACGATTTTACATAACAGTAGTGTTATTGTGTATTATTGTCGTCAGTTAGCGTAATTATTCAATGCAGAGGAGTTTAGTTTATGATGGATAGAATTAGTTAGATGCTCTTGCATGTAGTTCTGCATATTATTATTAGAGCGAGTTTAATAAAGCGGACGACTGCGGGCGGTAAAAAAGACCACATCAGCGATAGAGATAACTAGAAGATGGTGTCTGTATAGCTGCTGGCTATATGCACAAGCACCAATGAATTGATTATTATTTTTTTACGCCTTATCCTACTGTTCCCGCGCATTGCCTCACATGCAACCATGGGATAAGTTTTTTTTCCGCTGTTTCCCTTGTCTTGGAGTTCGTGTGTAGTCAGCGACAATTTAGTCGTCCGCTGGCACTCTCTCCTAGTTTTTTCCATCCAGCTCATCACTTTTGCTAGGTTGGATGTGCTATCGCTGGCTTAAACCGTTTATTGTACCCGCTGCTCTTAGCTACAATTCTCTCCTTGGTTGTGGACATAGCTATGGAGCTTTGTGGTTTGAGTGTTCAGGTCATTCAGTGGCTATCAGCCTCATGAAATTTTCAGGTGGACAACAAAAACAGAAAAAAAAAACAAAACCAAAATTAAAAAAAGGGGGGAAAAATCGCAGGAGGAAAAAAAATGGCATATGAGCCACACAAAATAGTAGAGGCCCATAAAGCCCACAGCTTTGTGCAGGCGAAGCGTCCCTGAACTCTGAAGAAATCAAGAAATCCAAAGGCAGCAGCAATGGCGGCGAGGTGCCTCTCTTCTCTCGCCCTCCTCTCCCCCTCCCCCTCCAGCTCCGGGAAGGTGTCGGCCATGGCCTCCCCGCCCGTCCCCTCCTCCGCCGCCCCTCGCCGCCGTCCCGGGACCCGCCTTTCGGTGGCCACCGGCGGGGAGCAACTCGTCACGGCGCAGGAGGCGTCCCAGGGTGAGTGAGTGAGTGAGTTCTTGGGTGCTTGATGTTGCAGTGGTAGCTGTTCGATTGAGTGTTCCTGTTAAAGATTTACTGGCTGATTTCGGGAGTGTTTCAAGAATCAAGATCAGTCTGAACTCTGAACTGTACCCTGGAGCTACATATGAACAAGAGTTAGTAAATCTTGGTGATGTTTAGTGGTAGGGGAATTTGATCACGATGTGCACCAATCTATTTAGCTCAACACTAGTATTACTTTTAGTAGCAAATTCGAAGTTCTAGGGGGGTTGCAGCTTTGCCTATTAGAGTGGAGGAGAGTGGATAATGTAGTGCAGACTGCAGACTATGAAATTGATACTCGCTGATTTGATGGTACAGAGTATAGGCATATGTGCAATTGTGGTTAAGTTGTAGAGGTGCAAATGTTCAATATGCTTGTACCGTGCATACATTTAATTTTACAGTTCTATGTAGCATACATCGATATGAAGAATCACACTGAAATATGTTCTCTAAACATGCAAAATTCATGTTAGTTTTTTTACATCTAAAACCACAAACCAGTAGTGCTTTTTATTGGCTGGTTCTGACAAGGCAAAATATGGAATACTAAAACTGTTTTTGTGTAGATTGTTAAACAGCCATGACCAGACTGAACTGCTCAACAATCCTTACTTTCTTTTTTGTCTTGAGCAAGAGAGTTAAGCCACTATTTCCATCAAGGAAACAAGAATCATCACAATAATTCCAAAGTTAATTAATAGTCATATAAGCACAATGTGCATTTGCTTTGAAATTTTGGGTGCTGAGATGCTGACTACATTTTCCTTTGTATAGCTTTTGTTTGGTTTTTGGTACTCATATTGGCTATAGCTAGAGTAAGTGCCCCTTTTCTCTGAACCAAATCAAACATGCATGATTTCTGGTGCAGAACCTGCTTATGGAGTTGTTAGCATTCACCATGTTGGGATCCTATGTGAAAATCTTGAAAGGTCAATGGCCTTCTACAAAGATCTGCTTGGTGAGTTAGTTATCAGTTGTACATGTTCTTGTGTCATGCTGCTTGTAAAGTAAAACTGACACACAGGAGCAAATGTCCTCACTGCTTGTAAACTAAAACTAATTCTTTATCAATTAGGTCTTAAGGTGAATCCTGCTAGGCCAACCGACAAGCTTCCTTACAGAGGTGCTTGGCTCTGGGTTGGTTCTGAGATGATTCACTTGATGGAGCTGCCAAATCCCGATCCATTGACTGGGCGCCCAGAGCATGGGGGACGTGATCGTCATACCTGTATGGCGATCAAAGATGTGTTGAAGTTAAAAGAAATCTTTGACAAAGCCGGTACTAATGAATTTTTACTTTATTATCTGTTGCTTATACAGTGCACTAGCAACAACTGATAAAGAGTAAATGCCCTGTTTCTCTGCTTGTTGTCTTCATAGCCTTATTAAAAAACCACTGATCTTTACAGTAAAACCTACTAAGACAGCAGGCTATTTTTTTTCTGATGTGGTAAATTGAAAGCCTGCCCTGTTTGGAGAAATTTATAGATGTCCTGAAAACCTCATCCTTTGTTTTTGGTAAATTTTACATACCACCATTGCTAGTCATCCAAAAGGTCTGTTGTCTTGAAAGTAATACTCATTAGACTACTTAAAAGTTCTAGTCAATTAAGATCATAGCATCGTCCATTCACATCCGTATAATGTTTTCAAACATTTTCCCATTTTTATGAAGTGCCGTGACAAATTATTTCATTTCCTTATCTTAGAACCATTACACTTTGTGTCAGCATTACCATTTCACTTGTTGCACCTTTACAATGTTTAATCTGCATTGCAGTACAAACTATTAATTCCATTATCCTCCATTGCCAACAATTTGATGACCGCCTTTAAACTGTTGGAATGCAGGAATCAAATACACACTTAGCAAATCAGGGCGACCAGCAATATTTGCTCGGGACCCGGACGGAAATGCACTGGAGTTCACACAAGTGTAGAAGCTGAACCAAGAATTTTCAACTAGAAGAGATCATAGCCCTACTGTAGTTACCAGTATCCGGTTAAGAAAAAACTGATTGTACATATCATTATATCGGTTAAAAGGGTACCACATGATGATATATTGATAGTGAAGTTGTATGTTGGTATTGGACCCCTTGAAATATTCTCCAGTTTGGTTTGTACTATTATTCATTATTCAAACATATTGTTGTTACTGATAGACGAATACTGTAAGCTCCCACTTTCAGATTAGTACACATATACTCCTCTCGTACTGTTAATATCCACTGTATCCTTCAGATATTAATTACCGAATCACACCATGCAGTTGCCACTTGCCACCTGCCAATTATCATCCCATTTTCAGAATGATTTATCAGATTTTGCCTACGTTTCTCAAGGAAAGAAACAAAAATAACTGTAGTAAAATTGAGACTATTGACACTGCGGCACTATCTTTGTTTCTGCTTCACACTTCACTGTCCAAACTAATGATTCTGCATACGAGCGACACCTTTTTCACCAATCTAGTTAATCCTGTTCTCTGCATCACTTTGATGAAATTTGAAAAGTACATGTTTCCTAACAAAGTCATGCAACAGAAAAATCTCCAGGCATGAAAACAACCAGACAATTTGCTCTACATCTCAATTCTCACCACCAATGTTTATGGTGGTCCTAGTCCTACTGACATGATCTGCCTTCAGAGATTTAGTTATGATACTCTGCTCCCCTTTGCAACTGGGAACCATTGCAGTCAAGCAGACAGATCATTGAACATTTTCCTGATTCACAGGGCTTTGGATCATGCTCTCCTGGACCGTAGTTGAGCTTCATATTGTCGTCGGATGAGCAAAGATTGCTGGTAGAGGTTCAGGTCAATACCGTCGACATTCCTACCTACGCGTGCTTGCAAAACGGCCTGCAGAGATGTAAATAAGTTATCAAAGTATCTTCCATTGTTGCATCAAATAGGCTCTGATGGACTTTCGAAAGGAGAACGGCATACATCGTTATCTGGTTTGATCAGGAGTTCACCGATGAACTGGTAGGTTGAATTTGTGCGGAAGCTGATCTCTCTCAAGTTCTGAGTGTCTACCTTGAGGCTTGCACCGCCGTCTTGAATAACAGCAATTGCAGAGTTCAAATCATACGACTGCAGACTAGAGAAAATACAACAAGATTAGTATAATTCAGGACCTATGAGTGGAAGTTCAGAAAGAAATATATAGGAGGCTTAGAATAGTTGCATCGTACACTTACACTCCAGTTACTCTAAGCGATGCTCCTTGTCTGAAGGACTCTGAGGAAGGCTCTAGTTCTTGCAAGGTAACAGGCACCCCAGGCTGAAGAACAGAAGATGCCATCTAGCACCAGGAAACTGAAACAACAGAAAATGAGGTGGTTATATTAGTCTTAACGGAATGCGCACAAGGTAATAGGAAAAAATTGTCTTACAACAGTGCAATAAAATAACAAGATGTCAAACAGAAAATAATAATAAAAAAAGACTAGAGCATGTGGTATATCTTGTTAACTCCACAAGCATTGCTAAAATCCAGCTTTCGCGTGAAGTTTCTCATGCTGGAGAGTTCAATAAATAAACATAACAGGTTAACTAAATGATATCTCTCTCATTCTGAAATTTCCAAAATCCCATCAACTAAGGTAATGGAAGCATGAAAAATTTGCAAAGAATATAGCACTTATCCATTAGTTATGAGCTATGATTACATCCTGTTGTATTAATCTTTGCACCAGCTGTTTGGTAATGTTGAAAAACATTCTAGAAAAAAATATCCCATTAGACATACATGGAAATCAACATTGCTACAAAATTTAATGGTGACTCCTGAAAGAAACTAATAACACAGGGAAGGGATGATATGAACAAGAGGATACCCTAATGGTCAATAACAAATTAATGATTTTCCTAAAGACTTAATGAATGATTTACAGAGTAGGAAAGTATGTGAAAATTTACAAAATGGTAACGTAAAGCAGTTATGACTGCATAAAAATACATTGCATACTAGAATCCACACTGATCTAGTGTTGTAGTTTCACTTATTTCCCATTTCCCTTTCTTTTAAAATGTGAAAATGCAACAACTTCATTGTCCATTCTGAGAAATTAAGATCAGAAAGAGATTTAAACTTGGCCAGAAAGAGTTGCATATATGTACACTATTCACATAACATTCATAAACAGAGTAGGAATACCTATTGACCTGAATAAGTCGGGACAGGATAAACAAGAAAGAGAACACAAAAACCATGAAAACTATACATGAAGAGGACAACATATCATCATTTTGTAATGAAATTCTGACCTAGAGTTACTCCCCATTTTTGATGCTCGATAAGAAATAATAGCAGACTTAATGGTCACAAGCAAGAATAGATCCAATAAACTCTACAACCCTGACAGAAATTGCCTCTGAATTGGCTGTCGGATCAGTTGTATCCACAACAATCCTTGGCACATCCCCAAATTCATAATCTGTGCAACCTTGGTACCCATCCCGAAGCCTTTCCAGCTCGGTCCACGTCTTCGGCTTATGCCACCCATCACCACCATCTTCTGGCACTGCAGCCCCTCGCTTCTCCAGCCTTCGGCGCCATTCCTCTTCATTGCCTGGCTGGCATTCCACAACGATAACAAGGGCACCCGGGAGGCGGGTGAGCGCGTCAAGGTGAGCGCGGCGTGACAGCGGGGAATCCACAACAACGGACAAGCCGAGCTGGACCTGCCTCTCTGCCATCCGCCACAACACGGCATAGGAGAGCTCATTGAGCATGCCGACAGCAAGGCCGTCGACGCGCTCAAGTGGCAGCGTGCAGTCCCGGACATCGTCCTTGTCCAGGAGTGGGCAGCAGAGCGCGGTGGCGATGGCGCGCGCCACCGTGGACTTGCCAGACCCCGGATGACCCTTCATGGCCACTACCACCGCCGGCTTTTTTGCTTCTTCCTCAGCCATCACTGCCCTCTTCTCAAAGCAATAATCCCGAAATTCCCAATTCACAACACCCTCTCTCCGGTTGCTAATAATACACCGGAAAGAAATGGTTTCTTGGCTGGCTACCACCACTACACTAGCCACCAATCCAAGCAACGTTATCCTACTCCCAAATTTAGACGGCAACCCAAGAACACATTAAGCTAAAATCTACACGGCCCAGAAGCATCCAGGGGGGACGGATACCGACAGGACGATGAGCAAAGGGACAAAATGAACCGAAGCAAGATTGCGACAGGCTTAGATAAGCTCGTGAGGGTGTGGGATCTGGCATAATCCGAGAGACAAAATTCGCACCAAGAATAAACAAATCCCGGCAGCCATTGACAGCGACATGAAATCCAATGTTCCAACAGTGTTCCATTTGGGGAGATTAATCCATCCATCCATCCATCCCCGGTCTAAAATATCGCAACTCGCAAGAAGTCGACAATTCAGTGAGGGATAGAAATCAACCAATCGATTAATCAGTCCAAGATTGTTCCGAGCGAGGGGCGGGGAGGAGGGAGGGATATACGATGAGAGATGGATCAATACCTGCTCCGGCGAGATGCTCGCCGTCCGGCCGGAGAGGAGGAGCGATTCGGCGGCGGCGCGGCGGAGGAGGCCGGGTCGGAAGCGGATGCACGGCGACGTGGGTGCAAATGGGTTGAGATGGCTTGTACGGCCCAAGTGCAAAGCAGCCCAGTTTGGCCCAATAGAAAATAAAAGAAAAGAAAGAAAAAAGTACACGGTAGGTCCCTCAACTTGTCATCGAGTTACAAAATCGTCCCCCAACCGCAAATCCGGATACAACGCATCCCCCAATTAACAAAACCAGTGCAAACTAAATCTCTCGGCGGTTTTAACTCCGATTTTATCCGATGTGGCAGCTGACTGAGTGTGGGACCCACGTGGGCCCCACACGTCAGGGTGACCACGTCATCATCATCTCTCTCCTGTGTTCTCTCCCTTCGTCCTCCCTCTCTCTTTCCTAGTTTTCTCATACAGGCCGACCATGGGGCGAGGTGGGAAAGGGCCGCTGGCGACGGGCGGTGTGGTGGTGCGGTGACACCGAAGAAGGGGGTGACGCGTCGGCGGCGGGCGAGATGTTAAGACCGCTCACGGCGAGATGACGTGAGCAACGGGAAGGGCTCTGCGAGGTTCATCGGCGCTGAGGGATGACGACGACTTGGGGGCGTCGCGGCGCCACGCCTGCTGGAGGCCGCCTCAGCGTGCGCGAGCAGGAGGAGCGCTGGAACAAGGCGGCGCGCCGAGAGCGGTCTTGCCTGCCGCCTTTCCGCAGCCGCACTCGCCTGCTCCTCTGTTTCGCCCGTGTCCGGAGCCGTTGCTCGCCCGCCGTCGCCGCTTCGCAGCCACGCTCGCCCGCTGACGCTGCCGCTCCACCTTCTCCGGCCGCGCCCTGCCGCCCGCTGCAGCTCCGCCGAGAGACGTGCGGCGACGGGCAGGGAGAGGAGTGGAAGAGCGAGCCCATATGAGCCCCAGTGGAAGAGCGACCCATGCAGAAGACCTCGCCGTTGTCGTCGAAGTCGAGCCCCAATGAGCTGCCGCTCCGGCCGTCCTCCCCCGTCCCGGCGCCATCCCTCCCGCCCCTCCAGCTCCTGGCGATGGTGGCGCTTGGTCCTGGCAAGCCGCCGCCGTCGCGCCTGTCGCTGCCTCCTGCCGCTCAAGCTCCCGGTGGCGGCGCTGCTTGCACGGCTCTGGCAGCGGCTGCTCCGACCACGCGCGGTCCTCAGCCGGCCGCGCCGCCGCCACGTTCGAGCCCGTCCTTGGCGGGAAGCGGGACGCAAGGATAGGGGCAGCGGCCGACGGGGAGAGAGGCGACGCGCTTCGTCTACAGGTTGGCACCGTCTGATGCCGTCTTCCTCTCCGGTTGCGCCGCCCGACGCCGTCCTCCTCTCCCATTGCCCAGATCCTGTTCGTCAGCCGGTGCCTCCAATGAGGGCCACCACCGCCGGGTTGGGAGCGGCGGAGGATGCAGCACCCAGGGGGACGCGTGGGCGAGCACTGGAGTCGCCTCCCGTCGACCAGAGAGGAGAACGAGGCGAAACCGAGGCCATCGTCGGTGGCGCCGCCGCCGTGTCCGTCTCCACCTCTGCTCCTCTCCCCGCCTGTCGTCAGCTGCGCTCCTCAGTCTTCCCGCGCCGTCGGTTGCCAAGAAGAGAGAGGAAGAGAGGTAGAGAGAGGAAATGAAGTAGTCATTGATATGTGGGACCCATGTGGGTCGCACGCTGACTCAGCTGCCACGTAGAACAAAACCGGGGTCAAAACTACCTAAGGACTTAGAGACCCGGTTTTGTAAGTTAAGGGATGCTATATATCTGGTTTTGGGTTGAGGAATGATTTTGTAATTCGGTGACAAGATGAGGGACCTCATGTGTACTTTTTCCAAAAGAAAAGGGTATATATGCAACGAGGCAGATAAGAAATAGAGAGGCAATCAATTGAAGATATACTGTATGCAATGAAATCAATTCTGCTCTATATATGTATATATATGGATGGATTAGATGATCAATACTACTCGTTAATTTTTATATTTATTTATTTTTTCAAAAGACAGTATCGACGGGACGCTCATATAGATATACGTACATTCATACCTATAAACTCACACACACCATATCTCTAAAGACTGAACCGACGGATCTTAATACATCGCCTAACTACTTAAAAGAACAATTAACTGTAAATACAAGCACCCTTTACAAGCACCCGTATGTACATGTTTTTATCTCGAAGAACCTAACCAGTTGAGCTACGCTCAATTCACGATTTTTATGTATTATGTATTTTCCAAATTTTCTCAAGTATATGAGATCATAATTGTTGCGGGTTCAACATTTATTTAGCTAGGTTTCCACCAAGGTATAACACAACTACTTAAATCAGATTATTCATTTTGGGAAGTTACGATTCACATGAAACAAATCCATTCTTTGTTTGTGCTAAAAAAATAATTTTAGGGATAGTACCCATCTGTTTTTAAATAAACTGACAACGGACACTATTCATACTTTGACCACTCATTTTCTTTTGCAAAATACTTTTAACAATAAAATATGTCAGGCTACTAAAGTGTGGCATAAAAAATATATGTATGTTTGTATGTATGACGACCATTTGAGTATTTTCATGTCCATGTCACCATGTGGTCCTTATGACTACTCAAATAAGCCAGTATACTCATTGAGATAGCATTCTTAAATATATGGAACCCTTCAAGCAAAAATATGTACTACTATATATATATGACACCCTATGCCTGCTGTCAAACCTCAAATCTAAGTACCTAATATATATAAAAAATATTAATGTTGATCGCCAAAAATGTTATCAGTATGCTAAAAAAAAGGTGCTCTTACAATTAATAAGTTAATTAATAAGTTAATAGTTTCATTACTGTATGATTATAGTAGTAGAAAATAGTAATCACACACATGCGCCTGCTTTAGACCACAATATCATAAAGACATAATAAAACCTAAGTGATAATTAAGTAAAGAAATAATTAATCAATGGGGACATGCATGCATGGAGTATAGAACTCGGCTCCCACATCCCAAGATAAAAGCAACTTATAACGTACTAAATTTATCTTAAAATATAACAACTTCTTAACCTACATTGTATTAATTATCTTGTCAACCAACCATACATATATAACATTCAACCATTTAATTTCTTCAACTACTCCTTCTCAATCAATTACAATATTTCTTTTCATTTAATTTTACATACATTCACTTTAATTAGTTGCGATGGATACCGGCTGTCATGTCATGCAAAACTATCATTTGCTCCTTCCAATAAAATGACATGTAATCTTTTTATGCGTTTGAATTTTTTTTTTTTGCATACTTTGTTAGTATTAATCCATGCATATATTCAACCTAGAAGTTCTTATATTTTAGAACTGGTGTAACAGGTATTAGTCGCACACGGGTTGTGGGTGTGACAAGAAAGTACCCCTTCGTTCCAACAAAATAAATAGGAGAATTGCGTTAATGCTCCAACTTTCAATCTCAAATGCAATTTTGCCCTCACTTTTTTGGGTTTGTGAATTTACCCCTGGTTTTTTCCAATGAAGCCACCGTTTGCCCCTACTATGGATGAGAGTAAAGTGGGTCCCATAATACTGAGTTAAAAGAATAGAAATGAAAAGGAAGAAAAATGATTTAGGAATCTTGAGATTACATTTGTACCCCCCCCAATACCTGACTTGTGCTGGTTGTGTCGAAGTTCAGTCAATATTATACCAAAAATTTGTTACAATTTGTATTTGTCATACTTTTTCATATTCAGCTCAGATTTGAATTGTTTCACAAAATCCCAGTTTAAAACAACTTGCAAGTTTCATCATGTTTAGCTCATATTTGAATTGTTTCACAAAATCTCAGTTCAAAACAAGTTGCATGTTTCCGATACAAATTTGGAATAAAAACACAAGTTTTTTTTAAAAAAGTAGGGGCAAATATGTAATAGCAAGTAAGGGTACATATGTCTTTTCGTGCTCAACTTAACATCGTTATACTCACCATCCAAATCAGGGGCAAAACTCAACTTCGTTTCAAAAAAGTAGAGGCAAAAACGTAAACCCTAAAAAATAAGGGCGAAACCACAATTAGACTTGAAAAGTAGGGGTAAGAACGCAATAGCCCCAAAATAAATTAGATCCTATCTACAAATCTAAATAAACATAAGTTTAGATTTATAGTTAGAATTTGATTCTTTTAGGCCCTATTTGTTTCAGCTTATGATTATTATAATCTAGATTATTAAACCAGATTGCTATGAGCTGGATTATAATAAGCTGATATAAAATAAGCCGTGAGTTGTTTGTTTGTCTGGATTATTGGAGGCATGGATTATTGGGTTTGAAAGGCTAAAGTCTATTATGCCCTTAGCTATCTGTTTGGTTAATGGCATAGGTGGGTAATTTTTCTCAAGTATGTAGGGGTGATGGGTCTTTAGCCACTCAATAATCGAAAAAAGCTCCTTTAGAGCAGCTTATTAGATTATAATAATCTTTTTTTTTTGCGGGGGAAAACTGAAATAACTTACTCGGCTAAAGCCTCATCATGAACAGTTTGGGATATAAGATTACAGCTTTCATCAGGCCAAAAAACTGAACAAGAATTTGTTCGGCCTCTATTTGCCAGGAAATGGCTAACATTATTCTGACTACGCTGGATCTTGCTGACCCTGATGTCTCTGCCACCCATCATCAATTCACGAATATCCCTAACCAAGTAAGCAAGTTGGGACATTTCCTTCTTTACCGACTGGATCATGTTGACAGCGATCAGGCAGTCCGATTCTAAAATGATCGGAAGCAGGGTCCATTGCAGG